GATGCACTTGAGTTGAGTGTGATACTGCCAGTTAACCAGCCAGTCTTACACAAGGTTGTGTTTTGTGTGCTTTTTAAAAAGTGACAGACTGCAATTATACAAATATGCTGATATACAGAATCAACTCAGAGAAATGATGATGATTCATTTCATATGGTGTTGTCAGACTTATTATTATTGTAATAATATTACAATAATGTATTGTAGCTGACGACTTTTATAGACTCTGGGCAGTTTATAAATACAACACAATGAAAACTGTTAAAAACAAACAGGCATCCTGGACTAACACAATCAGATAACAAATCAAACCAAATGAGGAGATCCATATACATATGAAATATAGGACTTAGACCAAAGCCAGATCTTAAGCGTGTTTTGGAACAGAGAGAGGGCACTGATGAAATCTCTCTCTCTCTCTCTTTCTCTCCCCCTCTCCCTCTCCCTCTCCCCTCCCCCCTCTCTCTTGCTGTTTCAGAGGATGTAGGCCACAATAGAGAAGGCAATTTCTTTAGTCCTATCAGATGACAATATCCAATAGCAGGGACCTGGAGTACACCCACTCTTCCAGAATTATTTCTGGAAAGCTTTAATATTGGTATTAGTGTACTAATAATGTAGTATTCAAGATACTTATTTTTTATTGCAGTGTTAAAAAAGAAACCAAGAATTGATCATATGCCAAGTACGAGCTGAATCAGATCTGACGCACACCCTGGGAGAAAGGACTTAAATGGAGCACTTTTATTGACTTTTGCAATATTATCAGAGCAGAATTGAAAAGAAGAACCTTATATTTACGTGCATCTTTGCAACTCTCTCAAATTGACTTTTATAATCTTTTTAGGATGTGTTTGTGTAGTGGCACAGCTGAGATGCAAGTTGAAAAGTAAGAATTCTTGTATGTGTATGTGTATATGTGTTATCTCCATCTACTTTGGGAGGGGGTACTCCACATGGTATCCTTTCCCTAATCCTGGAATGTGAATGATATACAGTTCCCAGACCTTACCTTACTTTTCTAGCCAATTAAAAGGAGAAAGAATGAGAAAAAAAAATAATTTTCTAGCTACCTCTTGACCCTGTATGATTAAGGGGTGAACCTAAGGGAATCTGTCCTTCTTTGCTTTCCTCTTGGGAAATTGAATAATCGCATGATAGCTAAATAAATTACAGTTTTATTTTTAAAAAGGAAAACAGAGAAGGGAAATATTCCTCTTTAATTTTATATACGGTAATTATATAAAACATTAAATAAATAAATTTAGAAATAAAAATACAGAGCTGCTCGGATCAGAGAAAGTATCTTACAAGCATTTTTAGTAGAAAAATGTAAAGGAAAGCATACTGATGGTTAACTTCTAATGAACAAAACCTCCAATGTAAAGAAATTTCAAGAGATAAAATAGAGTTAAATTCTTAAATGTAATTAATTTTTGAGAAAATCTTAACCAGTAAGAATATCTAGAATTTGGTGGGAGAAACAAATTAAAATAAGGACTGTAATAGAATCCATGATAAGGCAATCAGAATGATTGGATAGAAAAGAAATAGTATATTGATGTCATTATTATTTTTAGGACTATTGGGAAAAAATTATATATTTAATTGTTATCTGTCAAAACATTAAGAATTGTATTAACTCAATGTTTGCAAAAGAGGATATTTTGGGAAAAGACGAAATCAACTAAAACTATTATGTGGATTATGGATTATAGAAATCAATTGTTAGTGATTGTTTTACAAATGTAACCCAGACAACACACTGTTCACCAATTGTTAAGTGATTTATGTTTTTTAAAAAATCAATAAAATATATTACAAAAAAAAGAAATTTCAAGAGATAACAAATACATATACAGTGAGCTTGTATAGAGGAAATCAGTGAGAGACAAAACAGACTTCAGCACACAGAACAAAAAATAAACCTAATACACAATTACTAGACTGAGTTCATATTCCTCATATTTCATATTTCTTAGGATGACCTGATGGCCGAAGCCAGAATCTCCTGCTTCCTTTCATGTTTTTCAACCTTGTGTACATTTTTCTTTTATTGATTGAAGAAATTTGTCTCCTTTCCTCCATCATCTTCTATTTCATTCCCAGAAATACTGTTTTCAAAGAACAAAATCTTTATCTCTTGAGGGAGGGAAGGGTGGGGAGGGCAATCTCTCTTCTTCTAAGATGATAGATGTTATACCTAGATATGTAAGTTGTATATATACTGTGCATATGAGCCTCAGAGTAATAGGAAGGCTGAGAGAGCAAGAAGCAGCAGCCTGTACATTTTCTATGGCAATCATATAAGATGTTCAATGGAAACAGAGAACAAATATTGCGTTTTGTAAAAAAAAAAAAAAAAAGGTGGATCTTCTTCACTTGTGCATTATATATAGAAGAATTAAACTGACATTATAGAATGGTGTCATACAGCTAACCAATTCTTTTGTGTTCTTCATTTAATATGACAAGATTTATTGGCATATGTTCAGGGCTGGTTAGTTACATATGATGAGCTCACCATAATAGCTGATCCCTGTTTAGTTGGCATCACCTCACAAGAGGATAAGCTTGGAAGAATTGACTTTGAAATATATATTGACAAGGGAAACTGAAGAAACATACTTGAGGAAAAGTATTCAAAGGACACACTGCTTCCTCCAGACAGCTCCCTTTTATTCCAAGGCAATTTACCTATGCAGGTAAATATGGCTCTGTTCTTCATGCTATCAATAGTTCTGGCTCTGGCCTTCTCCATGCAGTATGTTGATTGCCTTTACTTGCTAGACTTCTTGTATCTCTTTTATTTTGAAGATCCTAACCCAGTTTCTTCTAGCAAGACTCCCCACAGCAATTCCAGCACCATCTTCCTTATAGATGTTCCAAAGTATTTCACTAGAACTTGAAAGAGCTCATATTACAGAGTGGGTTGGGTTGTGATCAGATTTGCTGGTTCTGTGAGACAATGTACTGTTTTTAAAGTGGAATGGAATGGAATGGAATAGAATAGAAATCTGAAAGAGACTTTGGAGGTCTTCTAGTCCAGCCCCCTGCTCAAGCAGGAGAACCTATAATATCTCAGACATGTGAATGTCTAGTTTCTTCTTAAAAATCTGGATGGAGTGCCCACGATTTCTGAAAGCAAGTTGTTCCACTGGTTGATTGTCCTCACTATCAGGAAGTTTCTCCTTAATTCCAGGTTGCTTCTCTCTTTGATCAGTTTCCAACCATTGTTTCTCATCCTTCCCTCTGGTGCTTTGGTGAACAACCTGCCCCCCTCTGCCTTGTGGAAGCCCCTCAGATACTGGAACACTGCTATCATGTTCCCCTATTTCTTCTTTTCTTTAGACTAGCCAAACCCAAGTCCCGTAGCTGTTCTTTGTTTGTTTTAGTCTCCAGGCCTTTGATCATCTCCCCCCCCCCCAAACTCTCAACATCTTTTTTGTGATATGGTGACCAAAATTGGTTGCAGTATTCCAGGTGTGGCCTTACTAGGGTTTTATAAAGTGGTACTAATACTTCATGTGATCTTGATTCTATGCCTCTGTTTATACAACCCAGGATTTTATCAGCTTTTTTGGCTGCTGCTCACTCTGCTGGCTCATAGTCAAATGATCGTCCACTAGGACTCCAGGGTTCCTCTCACAGTTACGGTTTTTTAAGCCAGGTCTTACCTAATCTGTATTTGTACCTTTGATTTTTCCTGCCTAGAGACTGCTTTTTTCCACACTGAAACTCATTTTGTTGGATAGGGCCCATTGTTCATGTTTGTCAAGATCTTTTTGGATCCCAAGTTTGTCTTCTGGGGTGTTGGCTACTCCTGCCAGTTTGGTGTCATCTGCAAATTTAATGAGTTCCCCTTCAATTCCCTCATCTAAGTCATTTATGAAGATATTGAAGAGTGCTGGCCTAAAACGGAACCTTGTGGTACCCCATTGCTTACTTCTCTCCATGTGGATGTAGTACCATTGAGAACTACTCGTTTGTTAACCAGCTACAGATCCATCTGGTGGTGATGTTGTCTATTCCACCTTTTCCTAGCTTACCAAGAAGTAGGTTGTGGTCTACTTTATCAAATGCCTTACTGAAATCTAAGTATACTATGTCCACAGCATTTTGCTGATCTACTAGTTTAGTCACTTTATCAGCAAAGTTTGTGTTCAGCTGAGAGCAGGATTCCCAACTTCTTTTGAGCTGTTACATAATTTGGGGTGCATAACAAATAAAAACCTATTACATTGACTTGGATTTTGAGTGATAGAATAGGGCCGTGGTGGCGAACCTATGGCACGCGTGCCACAGGTGGCACGCAGAGCCCTCTCTGTGGGCACACGCGCCATCGCTCCAGTCCTAGGTGTTCAGCTGGATATTATAAAACCTTTTCACTTTAGGCCTCCGCTGCTGTTTGCAAAAAAAAAAAAAAAAGTTTCAATCAATTTCAACTTCTTACATCTCGCAAAATTGGAATTGATTGAACTTTTTAGTCCCACCCAGTCTGCTGTTACCACCGCAGCCACGCCCACCCAATGGGCCACACCCTGTCCAGTGGGCCACACCCACCCGGCATCCGATGATACATAAGTGGATTTTGGGTTGCAGTTTGGGCCATCACTGGGATAAGGTTATGCACCAAAAACTGAGGGATGCAAGACCAAGCAGTATGTGCAGCCAGGACAAATTCTGATTTCATTTACATTTAACTGAAATTACAATTAGCATGTTTATGTATATTTAACAATTTTCCAATTATGTCATAAACATTTACAATTTAGTAGCAATTTTAATGGAATTTAATGGGATTCCAAGGAACCCTAAGATTTTAGATCATGCACCTCTATCTAAACACAATAAATGAATGTGCATATAATATGTTAGTTATATTATATGAACACCAAGCCCTTGTTCAGAAGAAGCCCTGGTTTAGCCCTGTATATGAATGTCATTTAGAGGGATTCCAGATGGCCAAACCCCAACAGCCATAAAAAGGAAATTCTGGATTGTTTCTTCTTGTTTGATTTGTATTTATTGATTTTTTTTAGAACATAAAACTGTGTACATAATGGTCCGAAAGTCACCCAGTCAATTTCATGCATAAAGGAATAGAATTCGCATTCTCATCATTTCTAGTCTGGCCAGTTCTTAATAGAATGTATTCAGTAGAGAAAAAGATGGGAGGGAAGCCCACAGAAAAATATGAATTACCAACAGAAGAAAAAGTTATTTGTACCATCCATAAAATATTGTGAATAAAACAGGGAAACTGTACACAACCCCCCCCCCAAAGAGCCTGATATTGCTACATTCTTTTCATACCCTTGTAAACTGTGTAATTCAGGGATGTTCAGGGATAATGCAGATGTAAATTGCAATACTTAACCCAAGTGAACACAATGCTGATTTTTTTTTTCATTTTATTTCTCAACACCAGTTATAAAAGAAATCCTGTTTAGGGTTATCTTTTTTAAGTTTGGCCAATGGTAATTGGTGGCGTAAATTCCTAGAAATTTACTACTCAATTGTTTCTCTCAATTGGATTGAAAATAAGCGAGAGTGTAATTACAGAATCAAAGCAGAAGTGGCACCATGATTGCTATAATTAGGAAGCCAAATTGCCTAGTGAAGTGTCTCTTGAAACCTGAGCCTGTGGCTGAGGAAGAGGAGGAAAAGGAGAAAATAAGATAAGAAAATAAGGCAGCAGAAAGAGAGGCTTTTTCTCAGGCAAAATGGCATACCCATTCCATACACTCTTTAAATGTAAAAAAATGACAAATTATGCCTTGGCTAAAGTTAAGTTTTCAAGGAAGGAAGACATGGGAAAATAAGGGATTTCCAAAATATATTAAACCCATACATAATTTACTATAACTATATATATGAAAAATAAAAGAGCAAAAGAATTAAAGAAAATATTTGGAGATTTTAAGTAGCCGCATCCAAAATGCTGGTAGGCTTAAACACAATGAAAGAAAATGTCTTTTCACACACTGCTCAAGTCTTACCTTACAAAATGTATCACCTTTTATGCAGTATTCCCTCATCTCAAGAGATAAGGGTAGAGCTATCTGGCCATTCTCCATGAACTGACACCTTTGTTAATTTAATCTATTTAAATGGATTCTCTGAAGAAAGGGACAAAGGATTCTCCAAACAGCTCTCCCACACTAGCATAAATCTACTGTTTTACCCTGAAGAAGCACGAACCAGTTCCCTCCCCCAGTTCCTTCCCCGTCCAGATTTAGAAGACTGGACATTGTCTTTCGCTCTTGTACCAAAATGTACATTGAACAGTCTGTGGAATCTGTCTCTTCCACAGGAACTCCTTCAAAATTCTAGCCTTAAGAACAATGATTCTGCAGGCCTTCTCATGATTGATATTTACACTACACACAATAACAACATGCAGAAAGAACAGCTCAGATAATTCTCACTCTAACCAATTCCACCCCACTAAAACGCTTACAAGTTCCACTCTAGTTCACTGGATATAGATCTCATCTTCACATAGAAGAAAGGCCCAATTCCACATATCTGCATGATTAATGAATGACAAAGAGTTATGAAAGAATGTCCCCAAACTTGAGTGGGTGAAAAAGAATGGTAACATATATAATATAGATATTGTAAATTCTAGCTTTGAAGTCAACTCATTCCCTTTACCCAGTAATCATTCCTGCATTTACTGGCATACTGTGTTCTTGTGTGGGACAATTAAGTCTTGCTTGACTTGTAGAGATAAGTTGCTTTAAGTTAGGACTGCACAAACTGGCCTGCCAGAGAACTGCTCTACGGGCCAAGAAAAAAAACTGATAATTTTAGTTCTGCCTATTCCCCCAAATCAGGGGTAGGCACCCTCGGTTCTTTTATGACTCATGGACTTCAACTCCCAGAATTCCTGAGCCAGCCTGCCTACCCCTGCCCCAAATGGACATTACAATTTGGTAATAATTTTTAATTAGCTCTTAAGCTACTTGCAAAGCCAGAACTTCAGATTGTGAATCTCTGGCTAAGTTAAGGAAAGACTGCACTTAGTGGGACTAGATAAATTTTTATCGTAAGAGTTTTTCTTTTGTCTGACAGACCAGCATTCTCAGGCCAAAATTACATCCTGAATTCCAATTATAATAAGATAAACTTATTTGTGTGTCAAAAAGTCATCACTACCAAGAATCTGAAGAAAAAAAGAACATGTAGGAAGTGTGAACCATTTGAAGTGGCCTTTCCTGAATTTTATCCAGATTATCACATTTGGCTTTTTATAGAAAGCTACCAATACATCTTGCTCAGTAAAACTGACTCACTTCCAACATGAAGTGTTTGTCCTTATAGTTATGAAGATAACCCTTGTTTCAAGTAAAAACAAAACTTTGTGTGCAAATGTAATACAGGTTGTTAAAACACATTTTCTAAACAATGTAAGTCATCCAGAGAGACTTCTGTACTATTAGAACAACTATCCTGGGGAGTGCTAATCCACCATTTCAGGTAAGAGATTCCCTCAAAATGTATTATGATTTATTAAGCATGTTCAGCTTTTAACAGAAAGATGGAAAAGAATAAATAAACTGAAATGCACAATTCCTTCTATACTTGGATGAAAAACCTCTTTCAAAATCATCAGTAGTTATGATCTACTGAGGATAATGCAGAGATCCCTCAACCACTTCTGGTTTGGTACCACATCAATCAGATTTCTCAAAATGTGTTTTGAGAAAGACAGGTTATCTCCCACTTCACCCCACTCTATTAGTTATCCTGGCTGTAACTTGCTTATTTTCCAATTGGCCCCATTAACTACGAGGACTAGTCAACAATAAATAAGTACTGACAAAAGAAACAGACAAAAACAACCCCTAAGATCAGGACTGAAAGAATTTAAAGTATTATCTGCTTGAGTATCATCAAGAATTTAAAGTATCATCATCAGAAATGAGACAAAACTATTTTTTACAGTTAAACCAAATACATTAGAATGTCAAAGAACTGTTCGTTTCCCAAACTTTCTGTAGCAAAATGTTTGAATCAAGCACAATTGAAACCGTATTAAAATATGCATTTAACTTCCATCTATTTACATTATACACTGGAAAAATAAACAATCCCTCACCCTAACTCTACCTACCTGTAAAAAAATGTAATTAGGTGGAAAGCAAGCGAAGTCAACAGCATGAACTGTCAAGATGCAACAGCCTCCCAGCTGTTCATCTCACTTCCTAACTTCATGAAACCAATGGCCATCAAGGCAAAGCAAGAAATGACACATATCTCTTTCTGGCAAAACCTGTAGGATTTTAGGCATACACGAAGACACCACAGGGGAATATTATCCCAGAGGCAGAGAAACAAGAATATGTAGAAGCTGGATTACTAACCGGCAAGAAACATAGGGCAATCAATTTTAGCCCACCTCAGATGGGTAGCAAACTAGTGCTATCTACAACTAAGCAGGGAAAAATATCCTATTTTATGCTAACAGACTACATCAGTGTTTCCCAAACTTGACAATTTTAAGGCATGTGGACTTCAACTCCCAGAATTCCACAGCCAGCAACGCTGGCTGTGGAATTCTAGGAGTTGAAGTCCTCATGCCTTAAAATTGTCAAGTTTGGGAAACACTGGACTACATGGTAGGTCCATCCTTCTTACGATGACTTAGGAAAGAGATAGAGCTCTGGTTCTACCAAACACATTTATTTGCCATCTCAGCTGAAGAACTGCCAGTGACAAGCATGACCTTTATGAGTAGCAGATCTTTGCAAATGCAGATACAAGAAAATGGTTATCATCACATTTATATTTTTCATCAGATGGCTATGGAAGGATTGCCTATTGATGTTCTAAAGATTTCAGTGCAGCAGCAAAAAGAGATGACATTTGAAATAACAATTCCTATATTAATTTGTTCCTCTATTAGAGGGTTATTATCCACTTTCTCCAGCCCAGTTTTCATTCTGTAGAAAAATTCAGGAAATATTAATAAGCCTCTAATATAAGCAAGCATTGATCATAAAATAAGAGGTATTTTGCTGTTTTAATGTTTGTTGCTTTTTCATGTAACTGTATATCACCGTTATACTATTCACAATGTTGAGGTAAGCAAAAGGATATTTTAATTGAAAAAAAGTTAGAAATCTCCAGCTACTGTTATAACACAACCCTGACATTAGCTTCCTGCATGATTTTGTTTGAAGTTCCCTAAAGATTTGCTAAACTTAATTCTTACTCTTAAATAGATAAAATATCACCTGGTTCCTATTATTCTTTCTACGACATCCTACAATTTCAATCACACCTCAGTTAACCATACAGGAAAGTCTGGATATATGTAAACCAGGATAACTGGAAAGCACTTCTGGTTTTGTAGTAGACTTTTAATGCAACTCCAGTCCTAAACATATTTATTTGGAAGTCATATTAATTTTGTTGGGCCTTATTTCCAAGTAAATCATTTTAGGATTGCAATCCAAGCTTATTACCAGGTTATAAAACGATCTAGAAAACCAACATGCCATACAGAGAGCAGTATTTTGCTTGTTCCTGTTCATAAATATAACCACACACTCACAAATATAACTAAATCCAACTGAAGCTATAGCTGTTTAGTCTATTAGCACGGGAAATATTATTTCCTAGGAAACAGGTGTCACCCACCCAATTAACACCTTCTTTGAGTAGATGCCTTTTCTTCCATAGCTAGCAGGGACTCAGAACCTGCACCATATAATACAGTAATGGAAATAACACATCTACTTCTCTTTGCTAGAATTAGATTGAAGTAGAGCATCCACAGAGGATAGAGCTGTCTGGCTCTGCAAGATTAGATTGAGTAAACTGAGAATGAATATATCATGCATAGCCAAATTGAGGAAGCTGCATAGGCATCTGCACCTGTGCTGAAAACTCATTTGAAAATCTTTCAGATTTCAGACAATTACAACAGGAAAAAAGATGTTTAGGAAACATAAAAGCAGTATTTTTTTTCTCTCTCAAAATGGAACAAAATAGATATTACTATTCAATAATATTTATCAATCTCAATAATGCCGAGTGTGACTCATCTAAAGTTTGATTCAATCTGAGGCACAAGTTGGGAAAACATCCATGTTCAAAATAGTTTTTCTCTTTTCCTGCTTTTTCTCTTCTTTCAAAACTGAGATAAACCTGGAATAGTGCTTACACACTATAGACTTTCACACCCAGCTTTGTCCCAGAAGCTGAGAATTTTGTGGCACTACTATATACACACCTTATTTCCAGTTTCTATTCCTGTTAATCAAACTGTATCCTTATGCAGTAGATAGCTTTCTGTCCTTTTCTCTTCCCATCTACACAACTAGGAACTCACTTTTTCCTCTTAGAAGCTAGTAAGAAAATGATGTTACTTTGCCATTCTGGGACAAGGATAGCGGACATAGCTTAAAAAGCTGCCATTTTAATTTTGGAACAGAGTAGTTGGCCATGACTAATGAACAGCAGTATTGGCACTGATAGTGATATTTTGCCACAAGAGGCCCAGATCAAGCTGTGCTGCCACTCTATTTAGCAATCAATAACCAAAGCAGCCCCAAAGATGTAGGAAAGCCATTGTCAGTTACATGCTGCCACCTGGAGGAAAAAGGAAAAACTGCTGGTTATAAGTTACAAAACAATTTTATCTCTATGCCTGGTTGACTGAAGATCAGGAACATTATCTTTGGGCACATGTATTAGCTCTGTGTCTTGAAAGGTTTTCCTTTTATAAATCATCATTGCAACAACTCCTCCCAGCAGATCGGTCTAGAAAAAACTTCCCTTTCTAGCCACAAGTCATAATTCATTTGGAAATCTTCAGGCAGTTCTACCCGCTGGCCCAACACACTTTGCAAACAGTTGTCAACAGGTAGAAAATCAGGGTTGCTATGTGCCCGGTCATAGCGTCGAGAGTTGAAGCGTTCTATACTGGCCCGCAGAGCACACTCTTCAGCTTGGAAGTCCCATGGACGTGCATCCAGATCTGTGGAGGTCATGAGGCAGACAATCAATGAATGCAGTTCACTGAAAACAGCTACTCTGCCACTTTAGAAATGTTCAGATAGCTCAACAAGAAAACTCAGGCATTCAGTGAATAAGAGTGACACAATCACATAAAACTCAAATTGTCCCTAAACAGCTAAGCTGAGATGCAGCAATAGGTTACAAGCCTGTCAAAGGTGGCTTATGTGAGTGATAGAAGAGGAAAAGTCCAGAAAAACTGGAATGAAAGCTACTGCAATTATTCCTTTCTCCTTTTGGATCTTCAACTGAAAAAAGGCCAGGAATAAGCACACTAACTTTCAAACACCAGGAATAAGTATACTAACTTTCAAACACAATGTAACTGAAAAAGATTGACATGACAGAGTACTGTAGGATTTCTCTCAAAATAATTTGTAAAAGACAGGTTTTCTCAGAGCTGAATCTTTTCATTCCGTACAGGTAGTCCTTGACTTATGAACAAAATTAAGCACCGAATTTCCATTGCTAAGCAAGACAGTTAAGGCAGCTGCACCCCCATTTTATGACCTTTTTGCCAGTCAAATGAATAACTGCAGTTATTAAGTGAATTTGACCTCCCTCCCCATTGACTTTGTCAGAAGTCAGCTGGGAAGGTTACATATGGTGATCCTATGACCGTAGGGCATAGTGCATCTGTCATAAATACATGCCGGTTGCCAAACGCCCATATTTTGATCATGTGACTATGGGAATGCTGCAATTGTCTAAGTGTGAAAACGAGTCATAAGTCACTTTTTTCAGTGCTATTGTAACTTTGTATGGTCACTAAATGAATGGTTTTAAGTTGAAGACTGAGTATCGTGGAATGATAAATTACAACTTTAATCATGTTCATTTTTTTTACAGTGTGTGCTATGTGGCTCCCTGTAATTAAATACTATTCTATGGGGAAGAGGTATATCAATCGCCGATATGCTGCATAGTGAAAGTAGAGCTCTCCCAGAATATGATCCTTTGGAATAACATTTTGTCCCAGTTCCTCTACTAGTTAACCTAGTTGTAGTAGTCTATGCTTCTGAATTTGAAGCTCCAGCTTTTTGTCCATTTCCATGAAGAATACATTTATTAAGCGTTAGATATTTTCAGTCCTGCACACCAGTCATCAAAGCATCAACAGTATTTACAACATAGACACATAGCCTAAATGCACATAGCCCTCGACTTACAACCATTTAACAAGAGTTCAAAGTTACAACAACCTCAGAAAAAGTGGCTTACAACCTGTATTTGCATTTGGAAGTGACCATTGCATCACTTCCACAATGATGTGATCGCAATTTGGTGCGTGGCAATTGCTTTGCATTTATGACTGGTTGCAGCTTCCTGTGATCACATATGATCATAATTTGCAACCTTTTTTTGCCAATTTCTGGCAAAAATGCCCATTAGGGAAACTGGATTCACTTAATGACCACATGATTCATTTAATGGCCATGTGATTTGCTTAACCATTGTAGTGATTGCTTAATGACCGCTGTAAAAATTGTTGTAAAATTGGGTCTAACTCAGTTTATGATGGTAATAATTTTAGATGAAATTCCAGTCCCAATTGTGGTTATAAATTGAGAATTACCTGTAGAGGTTCTTTCATTTCTTGCTGATCACAACTAAATATTATTGATAGAAGAGTTCCAAAATGCTATCATATAGGCTCCCAATATTATTTATTTAAAAGACTTCCAACACTAAAGATACTAACGAAATATTATTACTAGGGATAAAATGCATGTTTCCTTATTTATGACATCTCATATGTAGCATGTCACCATTTTTCAACAACAATAATAATTGCTGCTGCAAGAAGATCACATAGACCGACTACAAAAAATGGCATGACAAAGTAGCACTGGGATATCTGCAAGCAACAACTGGTGGGACCACTAGACAATAGACAAAGTAATAGCAAATGAAAATGCTAAAGTGCTCTGGGACTTAAGAATTCAAACAGACAAGCATCTGCCACATAACACCTCAGATTTAACAATTGTTAATAAAAAAGACAAAAAAGTCTGGTTAATGAACATGAAAATATCTAGAGACAGCAGAACTGAAAAGAAAGAACTGGAGAAAATGGCAAAATACAAGTAAAATAACAATGGCAAAAGAAAGCAAAGATAAATCCAATCCCAAAACATCTGTAGCACCACTGGAACACCATAGGGATTGATAAAAATTACTTGAAATGACTTACATCTTGCAACAGTATCTTCAATACCATCAAATGATAACATTTATCTATCCCGGGTCCTTGGGAAAGACTTGATAGGTGGGTAAAAGTGCCAAATCCAATCTAAACATCTGGCTCCCTGGCAACCAACTATATGACCTACATGGGCTTTTAAATTTTGCTCTTCACAACTAACTTAACTGCAAAATTGATTTTCATTGATTAATAGCACCTTACCCAAAGCTGTGATGATCTGAACATAAAGTTATTGACAAAACTATACAAAGTATGGCATATGGCAAAGTATGTCCATTCAGAAAACAATATATCATTACACCTCATTTAGAAGAAAAGTCTTCTAAAGGAGGGACATGGACTGCTATCAACAAATCAGCATTCCTAAAAGGTTTACAGTGAGGCTGGGAGGGTAGAGGAAATGAGAGGAGACAGAAACAAGATATATACCATTGCCATAAGCCCAGTCATCATTGAGCCGATGTCGCACTTTTTGGTAGATTGCGGACATAGTTTTCATGTTGCTTTTCCTCCACTGACGTCCCAGGTACTTTGTCTGCACTTTGAGAAGTTTCAGTACATACAGTTGCATCATGGCTTGCTTCACTTTCAGGGCTCTCTTTAGAATGGGAGCAGACTTGAAAACTACTAGCATCTGGAAAGGTAAAGTAGCAGATCAGTTACCTAAGGTTACATTGTTGCCTCTGTCATCAACTATATGCGTTGTGGTAAACACCTAATAGTGTCCAGAACATCACACACATCAAATCTATACAGTGATATATAAACATATGGAAATATTTCAGCTTACCATGGTTCTAGAGTGTTTCCACTTTGTTAACTTATTTAGTATCCTAAGAAGATTAATGCAAGAAAACAGGTTCCGCCAGCAAAACTGATTATTGTCTCCAGCTTCCTGTAAGGGAAAGCAAAAATTAGTAGTATTACCAAACAGAAGACTTAGCAAGAGCCAGCAATGATAATGGTATTTCTGTCCCTTGTTTTTGGCATGTGACCATCGAAGTAAAATTATAGGCAGTTTTGCTTACCAAACTTTCTGCAGTCAACTCTGGTAGTTCATGTACCACACAATATGGATAATCCAAAACAGAAATGCTGAAACATAAGAATGCCGGAGTGAACTGCTAGTGAAGTAAGATGAGGAAAATTAACAAGTTAAGGACCGTGTGATCCAATGCTTGCAGAATCAGAACATATCAACTGGTGTGCAACAAAGTAAAGAAAAATATCAATTTTATGGTTAAAGAAAATTAGTATGTTCTACTGATATTAAATTGGCTTTGTATACGGTAATACCTGCTAGAATACTCTGCAGTTCTTATTGAAAAGCAGAAATAATTTCTCCTGTAGAGGATTGGGAAAGTAGGCATCATTCATAACTTCTGGACAATTATGAAGAGTATTTGTGGAGATTAATAATGTTAATTTCCATTTCTCTCTCATAGTTTGATTTTTTTTTTGTTCAACACATCTCTAAGCTATTTACTACTGGAATTTCTTCAGCAGGTCTTTCTCAATAGTATATTATTTATTTAATTTATCTGCCACCCATCTCTCCACAGGAGTCTCTATTCTATGTTCCTGCCTGAAAGCAAAAACCTGGTGGATGACCTATTATTTTAAGGGCTATATATTTAGTACCATACACATACTCTTTTTTCATATGCAGCGCTCGTCATTCCCACCTACCTATTCTTTGCTGTGATGTATGACATAATGTTCTGATTGAAGAATTTCAATATAAGTGGAATGCAGTTGGCAAACACTAGATGTTGAGCCATGTATTCAAACTAGCAAAGAAAAATAGTACAGAGTATGTTAGAGAAGCAAATTCTTCCACTACCTCATCCCATTTCCAGTGATGCTAGCTCACACCAGTACATACTTACTTGATATACATGATTCAGTTTAAAATGCTTGAGCAGCAGCAGCAGAACAGCAGAAATAGCTTTAACAATTATCTCTTTATGCCTATTCACATCAACGCCCAGCTTCATACTCTGTAACACAGTTGTTCTGGAAACCAGAGCAGCAGTATTAACTATGTTAAATGTAATAGTACATATTAAATGTAATAGAACATATATCATAGGCAGACTTTGTTAAATGTAATAGTATGTATGTGTATGTGTCTCTCTCTCTCTATATATATATATATATGTCATAGGCAGACTTTAATTTGCTATGTTAAATGTAATAGTACATATATCATAGGCAGAATTTAATTTTAATTATGGTTCAGCTATTATTTGTTTCTAGGTACTGCAAAGCCTTTTTTTGACAACAGGTTAAATGAAAATCCAGTCTATGATTCTACCAGCCCGATGCATTTCACAATAGAAATCTGCTATGTATCCTACCACTTTCCGAACACAGTTGGTCAGATTGTAAGACAACACCAGAACTCCCATTCAAGGAAAGAACACTTGGTGTCTCTATTTTTAGCTTCAAACATGCTTCCTCTTTAACTCAGCTTCTAGTTTTATTTAATATGTTCACCTCCCTCCTTTGAATCTTTCTAAAATCTGGTTGGTTTTTTTTTTTTTTTTGGACAGCAATGTAATAGCACTAACTATAGTATTACTATGTAATCCTGACTAATTTGGCAAGCCATTTTGAACTTACACATGAAGTGACACCAAAATTCTAAATCAGTAAAACTCTAAATCAGAAATAATGACATCGCTATCTGTTTGGGATCTTCTATCTTCATCCATTACATGCACTGCTTGCTTCTGGCTTAGGGCTAAGACTTACGGCATCTCCTCTGGCAAAACATCGGCAAGGATGTTGATGGAATCAGTCTTGGCTTTGGAGGTGGGTGCTGCAGCAAGCAGAATCTTCAGCAAGGCAATCTAAAAATCATAGTTAAATGTTGTAGCAAAGACTTTCTGAAGTATACATGGATAAGAAGGGAGTTCCTAGATACCAGTAATGGCAGGAAATTAACCTGAAGTGTCAGAAAATAAAAAATGTATCACAAAGATACGTTTTATCAAGACAGGAATCTATACAATGCTAAAGGAAGGAGCTAATTTCTCCCACATGAAAATGATGGAGACAGAGTGCAACATAATTAAGAAACAGAGACAGAAACTCTTTAAAAGAGAATATGCATCCAAACAGACTTCAACTCACCATGTACTGAGGCAGGCTAGGAAGAAGACCCTGGTATAAGATTTCAGCTGGAACTTGCTCAACCTCCTCTTCTCCCTGTTACACAAGCAGACGATTGCAACATGTTCACTCATAATTCAAAGTCAACCAGCATATTTTGAACATTTCATTTTATGTCAGAACAAAGACAAAGCATCACTTTACCCCAAAAGTGTTTTCCAAGGCAGACAACAACAACAGAGCATCTTGACATACAAACAACAGCTACTTGTGTTCATGGGAGATACTGAGTTCTGTGGAAATTCTTGTTTGATGACGGGAAGAAATGCCTTTTAATCTGTCATTTTCAGATTATAGCACTAGCAATAGCACTTAGACTTATATACCGCTTCACAGTATTTTACAGCCCTCTCTAAGCATTTTACAGAGTCAGACCCCAACGATCTGGTTCCTCATTTTACTGACCTTGGAAAGAAGGAAGGCTGAGTCAACCTTGAGCCGGTGAGGATCGAATTGCTAGCAGTCAGCAGAATTAGCCTGCAATACTGCATTCTAATCACTGTGCCACCACGGCTCTTATCTTGCATGAGTGCAAGGGGGAGGAGGAATAAATGATAAAACACATAAAAAATGATAAAACACATAAAAAAACGAAGGGCCTAGGTCACACAAAGCATCTGCAGACAACAGAATCAATGACAAGTCCAATTCTACAACAGATATATTTTCTTCCCCGCCATTCTTTTTTCCATACAGATGCCTTTCTTCAATACTAGGCATTCTTCCCAGGACACTTACCCCTGACAAGGGAGAACGCAGATATTCCTCTTCCATCTGAACTTGAATTTCTGCAATAGATGTATACTTGTGCTACAAAGTAACAAGACACAGGAAATTTACTTCACAAGCCTGAATTGACTGAACTGCCAAACATTGTCTCAGAAAGCAGCAACAGCAGCAGATGGGATAAAACTGAAAATCAGTTCTCTGTGAGATGTTGTCTAAAGCTCAAAATGAAAAACATGGGCAATGGGAAACTCACCAATTTTAAAGTTTTGATGCTCTCATGAATTGGTCTTGGCAATCCCACTATGGTATTGGTATCGCTAAAGAGAAAAAGAAAATTTGAAAAAATCAGCTGATAATGTAAAAAATATATATGGTTATTTTGGTAACTTTGCAAATAGGAATCTTAAAATCAATGGCTCTGCAGAAAGACATGCGTTCAACCCAGTATATTATGTAAGAAAAAAAATATAACATTCTGATAAATTTCAGACCTAAATAAAATGGGAAAACTATAAAGGGGCTACACAAACACACATATAACCATATTTTATTATTTAAATCTCTCTTAACAGAATTATGAGAGTCAGTTTGATACAACTGTTAAAAACACAAGCCTAGAAATCAGGAGACTGGGATCTAGTTCCACTTTAGGCACAAAGCTAAGTGCACGACTATGGACCAGTCACACTCTTCCAGCCCTAGTAAAAACAACTAGTTTAGTTTAATGGCCAACATACAAATGAAGCTGCTTTAACTCACCTCCCCAAGGTATAGCCAATAAATTTGCTTCGACTAGATTCCAGAAACATCTCAATATCTTTTTCCCTACAGAAAAGAAACCAAATCAACATTCAATCAAACCTTTAGAGCAGGGGTTCCCAGCTCCCAGTCCAAGGACTGGCACCGGTCTGTGGCATGCCAGAAACCGGCGAAGCCCCACCTGTGGAATGCAGGCAGTATATGAAACCATGCCCCTTCTGGTCTGTGGAAAAAACTCTCTACATGGAACCGGTCCCTGGTGCTTTAGAGACTTGTCTGAGCAGGAATCCATTGTGGGGGACTAGCCAATGCTGGCTTTAGATATAATATTTCCAACTCCATATCCAAGAGCAATTGTACATAACACATATATCCTTCTTACTATAATTACCCGTCCCTTTAATTCATTGAAAGCAACAGACACCGCATATATCGCAATAGCGCTATTGTTTATAGTACTTTCAAGTATCTTTAAACAGCCTTTGGTGCTATTTGTTTTCTTGACTGAAGATTGTGATTGAGATATCCTACAGCGATCTTTCATGCTCCTAAAATCTGTAAAATTGCTGGTATGTTTTGTTCACCATGTAGCCATGCATCTAGATTATGCTAATCAAGTCTTCTGGAAGCACAATAGGAAATGAATAAAGTACTGCACAATTCAAGCATCCCCCAAATCACCAACTATAAAGACTGGCACTGTAATACACAGTTTATTCTCATCATCTAAAGCTCAAGAAGCTGATCTTTAAACTTAAAAAGGTTTTTCTTCACTTAACAATCCTGGCTAGGCACTGACCTGACTTTGGGTGCCCAAGGCAAACCTTTTGGACATGTTAGTCGGTCAGTTGGAGGGTGCTGCACAGGAGGAGGCATCACTTCGTCTCTTTCAAGAGGAAACGTCTCCCCCTCGAGACTATTGTCCTCATCGTTCTCCTCTTCATCTTCTCGGGAATCATCAGCTTTGTAAGGATCCCGTTCATTGAACGCATCTAGATTATCCTGTTTAATAAGAGCCTGGAAGAACAAACATTCAATGAGAGGCTGGTTAGCTCACCTGTGCCTCAACGCTATTTGTTTCTACTACTGAACCCTCTGGTTCTTTTTTAATATAATTTTATTAAGAATTATAATTACAACAATAAAAATTAACATAAACTAAATTAGAGAAGAAGAGATAGAAAGAATTAAAAGTGCAGGAAAAAAAGGAAAAAATAAAGAAATACATAAAGAAGTGAATTCCATCCTTCATAACAAGTCTAAATAAACTTAATAACTCTTTATCTCCTGTAAGGTTAAACAGATATTTATCCCATATCAAGTCCCTTATCTATAATCCATAAAACATCAAATTTTCAATCCCAGTGTCAGCAAAAAAAACCCATAAAAGATTGCCAAGACATTTTTTTTAAAAAGTCTTATTTTTAACCTTGATCAAATAAACCAACTTTATATTCCTTCCTTTTACTTCTAACAGTCTTAATCTTTAATTCAATCAAATACTATTGCAGGACTTTGTTTCTTTTCAAGTCTTCTTTATCCCATTGCAGTTTTCTTCAGGGCTTCAACATGCCTAGTTTCCTTTGCATATCTAGGAAAGCGTCCTTTTCCAAATTGTTCTCTTGGTCTGTCATTTGTAGTTCCACATTCTGTCCTTTTTGTAGTTTGCTAAGATAAAATTTGTTCTACATCTGTCATACCTTCATTATCTTTTGTAATGTAAGCAGACATTATTACTTACAGCGTTGATATTGTAGTTATTAATCTCTGGCTCCATTCTTCAAAATATGTCCTTTAATACTTTTGATGTTATAATGTTTTGTATCATTTTGTAAGTCCCATTATTAAATTGACACAAGCCTTGTGTGTGTGTTTTTCTGCTTAAATTTTTAGTCCCCTCTACTATCCAGTTTCTAAAATCATCACTATATTTTGTGATGACATGCAATTGCCAAGAGAGTCAAATCAGTCATTAAGAAACTGTTTATTTTTTATATTTAATTCTAAAATCTTATAGTAAAAATAAATATTCCATATTTACATGGACTCTCAGTTCATGTATAACTTTCTTAATTTGATAAAAAAAAATATTTAGCTTTTTGCTATTTATTTCAAATTGTTTCAGTTCTTAAGTTTGTAATTAATATTTCTTTTGTTCAGAGTGGAAGATAAACTCATATGATGAAGACTTCAATCCTGTTATTCTGAAGAACTCTAACAGCTTTAAGATAGTTTACAGATAATTTCAGAGATTATCTATTAAGATAGTCAGATTTCAGTGTTATCTAAAAGGTTCTACTGCATTTATGAGCAAGATGACTGATCCTGACATCTCTAGGCACAAAACCACTATCCTGTGGTCTCCTCATGAGAAGCAGCCATCTGGAGCATAAGTGGATGATCTCCCATCCTCTTCTTATCCATAGGGAGCTTCTTGGTCTTTGCTGTGGTTGTTGGCCCTGCAAAAGCTTGCCAGACCTCCCCCAGAAGTCTTTCAGTTCACCATATCTCCCACAGAAGTTACTAAATCCTACAGTTCTAAAGTTCACCTTGTGTTCCCGTCGACCCCGTTTCTGCTGCTGCTCAATCAAATCTGAAGCCGATGCTGGAGGTGATGCAGCTCTCATGTTGCGGATCACTTTTATGCTATCCTCAGGAAGTGGGGGAAGACCCAGCATCTCTCGTTTCTCTGTTTTCATATCCTGAAGCTCCTCAAACCCTCCAAGGGTACACTGTAAAGGATAGTAAACATACTGAACTTGTGGTCTTGTAATTTACTCCTCAGATGCCAGTCAGCTAGTGAAGTGTCAAGACCTTTGTATTTTTTGTGTAATTCTAAAATACTTTTATGATGTGTAGTCTTGTTCAGTTATGTATTGTAGTAATTCACTTAAAATTAATTTATTGTCCCCAGTGTTCTATTTTTCTAGACAATTTTAGAAATAACTATGTGTTCTTAAATATGAAGACATTAAAAATCTGAAATAATGGAATGGCTGATCTTTTCAGAATTGGTTCCAGAACAACCTACTTCTCTATCTAAAGAGCTGTAGCTAATTCTCAATCTGCTTCCAATTAACTTTTAAAGAATCTTGTATGGGAAGAACCTCCCACCCAAGGATTTAGATTACAGTGTATGTTTTCTGTCTGTTAATGAGCAGAATTCCTGGAAAGGCAGGCAGCCGCTGAAATAAAATATTTAGCAATAATGAAGGAATGAGGCTTTCCCTCTGCCCTTAACAGCTCAGCTACAATATGGAAAAGAGCTCTCCAGCAGTCTGTCAAAAATATATATTATTGCTTGGAAAATAAAAACTATTACATGGGTAAGTTTTTTGCAACAGTGTGATAGTATTCTCCAGCAGACGGCTGAACTGCAAATTGCCAAGAGATCAGAGGTGCCAGCATGGTGGCTATGGAGAGCTAAGAAGGAAGGTGGTTTTTTTTTTCTTCCATTCAAATATGTTAGATTCCCAGAGACTGCATGAACAAATCACTGCAATTTCTTTGGCAATGTTTTCCAGAAATGGTTTGCCCTTCCATCCTTTCTACAGTTGAGAGAAAGTGACTGCTAGTTTTGTGCTCATGGTGGGGACTAGAATTTCAGACCTAAGTATGTTCCTTAACTTTAAAGTACAATATTGCCATCAGTTTAGCATTGTATCGATCACCATTCTAAAGCTATTAACAAATTAGTTGTTTTTGTCATTATAATTTTGTTTTTATTATTGCATGCCATTTAAGAATCACATTTTTGAGAGTTGGGTGGCCCCAAAAAATCCTTTATGTAAACAATAAACAACAGCAAACCAATCTGTGTGATCCAGTTTAGAGTCTGTATTAGAAGCAACCTGTTAAAGCATCACATTATTTGGTAACAGGAGTCTCTTACCAGGACAGTCTTCCAGAGCAGCAGCAAAACTTTCTTCATAGGAAAGTGTGGAGCATGGCCACTGCAGAATTTGGTCACCATGCCAAAAAGCATCACAGAAAATGGCTCGTTGTTATATAGAGGGGCCCCTGAAAAGCAATGTGTTGGTAACAAACATGTTACATGAAATCCCTGAATTTTTTCATTACGTATTTGAACATCATTTTCTACTATCAACCCAATAAAGCTTCCAGTTGATTTGCCGTATTTTTTCATAATAATTTTCTGCTCATTCTGTGTTCTTGAACATGGTTTAGTCCAGTTAAATAATAAATTCATATTTGCAATGATGGCATTCATTTAACTCCAATAATGTAATTAATGTAATCATTCTTCATGCATTAGGGTTCATCCTGCTATCCTTATTCTTGATTTATGAGAGCATGCAGCAGCAGCTATATGTGGGAGATGGTTTTGCATATAGAAAAGAGAGGGACTTGCATCATCACTATACTACTTTCCCCATCTTGCCCACTACAGTGGACACAATAATTCTGGGGACTGGAATGAATCAAGGCCTCATGGAAAAACATGTCTCCTTATATGCTTTCTTCACTTTGTTCTCAAATGTGTGAAATATTATTCCACAGGAAGATAGATGCTAACATCAAAACTCAGAATTGGATGTTTCTATGCTACATATGCAAATCTGGATTTCAGCTCCCCATAAGAAAAATTAGGATTAATAGCAAGCCAGATTTTTTAAAAAGCATATGGATTGGCTTCACACATTGTGCAAAGCTATGATGGTTCGATTCTGGTTCAGTGCATTATAGCTATAATGCTATAGTTTATTCAACAAATAACAGTTAATTTATTTATTAAATAAATAATTGAGTTAGCAAATAACGGTTTAGTTTGATATGAGAAATAGGCTATGGTGTTTAGCTAAATTTCCTTAGATAATTGTTCAAGAAGGTTAAAGCCCAGGTTTTGCTGCACATTAAACATGCTTACCTGTAGTAAATCTCCCCTAACTCAATAACACTGATCTGTGAGAAGGCATATGTAAGACTACGCTGTATATTGGGCAGCCTTTAAAGGTGTTCTGGATATACTAATAGTATAGTAATAGTAGTAACGCAGCCTCAGTATTGAAGCTTCAATGATGTCTGAAGGGGGATCAAAATTTCCTGGGACTTTCCTCCTGAAAACTACCAATTAAATTTTGTACATCACTCTCCTGAAATCCCATCAGGGAGGAGGAGGGAGAGAAGCTTTGAGGTAATAAATGGCTTTTTCTCTGCACACCGTCCAAATGAGAAGAATGCCCGGTGGAGGGAGGAGGAGGCTGAGACAAGCAGGGTAGGCAACAATGATAGTGACTGTGAAGGGCAATGAAAAAGGAGAGATGTATTAGAAGCAATCATCTGCTGAGATCTTAGGAATAAAGACCTGTCGTATTAACAATATGAGGGTGCTGACTCTAACTATCTGGCAGCACCGATTAGCACAAAAGAAAAAAAAAGTTATTTCTCATATTAGCATGTTTTTTTCTTACAGTAAAATAATCCTATCTTTTTGAGCAAATGCTACTTAATTAGCTAAATTCTGAATCATGAACAAGAGAAGACATACCTAGCTCAGCTCTGAAGGTCTGTCTCATTGTCTTCCATTCAGGCTTATCTCCTTCACAGTCCTGACGGACAGTCTCCAGAATAAGGTACATAATGTTCAGAAGCACCCTGCAATCAAAGACTGAACAGGTTAGAACAGGGTAGTCAACCTTGGCTCTTTTCTGACTCGTGGACTTCAGCTCCCAGAATTCCTGAGCCAGCTTAGCTGGCTCAGGAATTCTGGGAGCTGAAGTCCACGAGTCAGAAAAGAGCCAAGGTTGACTACCCCTGGGTTAGAAGGAGAAATTCCTGACATCACTGTTTGCTTCACTGAAAACTACTTTACCAAACAATAAGTAAATGAGCCATCCCTTATAATGTTTCCAAGGATGATACTGAGGCAAAAAGATGTTGCATTTGAAATAACCAATTTGATGGTAATAGCTAAACATTTTATTTTTGGTCATGTCATTATTTTGAGGATTGCTGTTGCTTAGCAACCTATGCTTTTCTAAGAAAAAAAACACTCTTTACAGAAAAGGCTCCTATGCAAAACTAGTGGTAGGATTTGTTTAAAAAAAAAACCAGATTGCCTTTTTAAATGGGCAGTGGCTGACAGATGGCTACAATGGATGTAACAATGTCTCTGAAGAAGTCACAACTTGAATTTGACCCATTCTTTTCATCTAAATAGTGGCAAAAATTTTAACATTAAGTGTGTGAGCTATATAAAGAATGTTGGAGGGTTAAACACAACTATTTCTGTTGGTTTCCCACCAAGAATGCTAGGAAAATACACCACTTATATTTGGTGGTTTGGGGAGATTCTATGCCTATAAAAATGGGGCTCAGGAGTAGAATTCACTAAGCTGTGTGATTTAAAGTGATTTGCAGTATCTTCTGGGAGACTGAACTATTATAAATTCATAGTGAATCCACAGATGAGGAGGGAGATATTGACGTATCATAGTATACAATATTCACCTTAAGCATGTTCTAGCAGCATCTGACCTTATTCTATTTCTCTTCTTCACTGCCCCAATAAAGGCATGCTGTTATATCAATTTGAAAATCAGCTTTTATTAATAAGAATATATCAATCCAACATGGAGCAAAAAAGGTAAAATATTTTTACCAATACAAGTTATTATAACAAAAAAATCTCAGTTTAATGATAGCGCATACTGATATGCAATTACTCACCTCAAATCTGTGCTGTCAGCCAGGGAGATAGCAGGCTTCCTCACTGCACTGCTACAGGCAGCACTGTTGCTAGAAAAAGAGAAAGAAATTTCTGCTTTCTAGATCACACCACCTTCTGAAACTAACATCACATTGGATATTAGACAAACAATGGCATGGGTACCGTGGGCATTCACCCTCTTCTAATTCCCTCTCTTATCCAACAGCAGTTACCCAATGTAATTGTTAATTTGATTACCTAAAAGGGATCCACTGAGAAAAAACTCATTTACTCCATAGTATGAAACTACTATAAATTCAGGAGCAACTTCTAGTTACTTTTTGAATAATCAGTTAGGAACATGTTTAGTCCTACTAATGCAAAAACAAGGCTTTGAGTAACTGTATTAAAACTGTTCACATGTCCTCATTCTGTAGTAAACTATCAGCTCAGTTCCAGACATGTATATGATAGAACCCACAGACTATCTCTTCCAGAAATTAAATAAGACCGCATACCGTTCAAAACTATACAGGAAATCTCTGGATTATTATGGCAATTGGGACCAGAATTGCCACTGCTAAGCGAAGTAATGGTTGTAAAGCACAAGGATCCCTCATTCAGCAATATCATAACTATGATCAGTGAATAAGTGATTGTAACCTGAGGACTACCTGTATGTTTTTGTGTCTGTTTTTAGCCTTTACTTTCTCTCAAAAGACATGCACACACATTTATTTCAACAGAATTTATTTTTAATTAGTCCAGATTAGTTTCTAGCTGGCGAGGCAGATGATCCGGATGCACTGCGCACTTTTTGCGCAGAGCAGTGTTTCCCAAACTTGACAATTTTAAGGCATGAGGACTTCAACTCCCAGAATTCCACAGCCAGCAACGCTGGCTGTGGAATTCTGGGAGTTGAAGTCCACATGCCTTAAAATTGTCAAGTTTGGGAAACACTGGCCCAGAGGGAGACTGGAAGCTTTGAGTGCTTGCAAATGTGGCGCTTGGAAACTGAGGCAATCGCTCCATTTCCAACCATCCCATTTGCAAGCAGACGAAGCTTCCTGTCTCCGTCATTTCTCCTTCCAGGCAAAAAGTGTTTGAGCGCCCCATAGGAGCCCAAACATTTTTCGCCCAGAGGGCCTCGGTTTCCAACTGCTCCATTTGCAAACAGATGAAGGTTCCAGTCTCCCTCTGGGCAAAAAGTGTTTGGGTGCTTATAGGGTGCTTGGGGCAGCTCTCCCTCCCCGCCTTGCCTCATGGCGGTGGCACGGTATGGCAAGCTATGCAGTCACAGAAGTGGGCCAGTGGCCACGCGGGCTCCTGCAGGACAGGGCTGTCGATGCCGCCACAAGGTGAGGCAACTGTCAGGAAAAAAATAAGACATCCCTGAAAGTAAGACCTACTGCCTCTTTTGGAGGCAAAAAATATATAAGATCGGGTCTTATTTTCAGGGAAATATGGAACATTTTTTAAAATTATACTCTGAATATTGTTTCAAATAAGTCATTTTTTATGAAATAGATAAAACTGGATGAATAGATAACAGGTTAGGTTTGGCATCTGTTTCCTTCATAAGCTGTAAAAATATATATCATGAGGAGGCAGAACATAATTATCTAAAGAGCCTGCACTCTTTTCAGAGGCCCCAGTGTCATAACATGAAACTCACTCAATTTCCATGTTCAAAAGCTCCACCAAAGCGTTAAATGTCCCAACTTCAAGCAGAAGAAAAATGTTGTATCGCATCCAAAACTGAACCTCAGCTTCTGAACTACACTCATCAAATGTGCCTGAAATAAAAATATGATTCATTTTATGAAAGATTGCCCTTGTTAAATCACACTAAAGAGCAGAGAAACTACAACATTCAAATAATAAAAGAAATGTAAAATAATATTAACACAGAAGTTATGGTATCAATTTTCCAAAAGTGGAATCCCAGCCATTTCAAACCATTTCTAGGACCAAACTGGAAATTGGTTATAGAATTAGGTAATAAAACATGGACAATATACAGATGAACTTATGTTGAGATTAAAGCAAGATAATGCATCTAGGTTAATTATTATATAACTAACTAGAAATCACATAGAGTTTTACATAAAAAAATTGAAGGGTCTTTTTGCACACAAACTTGAGGCACAAAGATCAATTTTCACTACTTTAGGCTTATGACTGTATTTCTAGAATCCAGTTCTAACATCTGTGAATAAAAATGAAATTGGTCCAGTAATTCTGTTATTATGCTGAATGGTAGTATAAATTCTTTTATATTTAGGGTAAATACCAGTAAAAAAAGTTTTGCTGATTTTTGCTAGCATTTCTTTATTATTATTGAAAGGAAATATTGGTGTGAAAAAAATTCTTCTAAAATATCATAATTGGTAGGTATTTAAGACTAAGCAGTTCCCCTGAAAGATACAAGCATACCTTGTGCAACATAGAGGATGGCTCGAGCCACCCTGAGCCTTTTCTCCCGAGCTGTGACCTCAAGGCCATCAAGAAGTCTCATAGCATGAGTACGATGTTGCTTAGTGTCCAGTTCTGTCCACTTTTTATCCAACACTAGAAATGCAAGGTATTTGAAATGACAACACAGCTTTGACCCCTTTCTTCAAAAAAGTAACTATTTGCAGCAATAAAAAATATAATGTTGTGCAATAGCCTTTAAAAAGTGGTTGTAATCCTACATGCTTTCAGCTATTTCCTCCAAGATCTCAAATGCTTATGTAACATTAATGAAATGTTGCAACATTTTATTTATGAAATTTTGTGACCTTACAAGATTCTGGCCAACTGTAATTAATAAAATTAGATTTTTAATTTTGGACAACTTCAGATTTTATTTTATGGTATTACAGGATCTTATGTTGCTAAACTTTGGGCTAGATTATTTTTAGTGCTATCAACAAAATTTATAATGTGTCTAATTTTACATTATCAAGCTAATGAATATGCCATTCATATTATTGCAAAGTTTTAACATCAAATCAAAACAAACAAGAAACTTCTATTCCACCCTAAACATTACAGATCACAAAAATCTGTAGTAGTTGATAGTTCAGCTTCAGAAATGCCAGTCCTTTTCACACACGCACACAAATCACAATAAGCATTCCATGCTGGTACAGCCATTTTATTTATCTATTTATTTATCTCACTGAATTCTCCAAATTTTGGAGCTTGTTATGATTTATTTAAAACACAAATGTATTAAGATTTTGTTAAAATAAAGTGAAAGATTCATGAAAATGAAAAAAAACATACCTGGTACTAAAATAATCAACCTTCTGTTATTTCATCCCATTTCAAATACAGCATATATAGACTAAGCCCACAGGACATTTCAAGGAGGGAAAAGTAATTAGTCTTACCATGCAGCCTAAAATCTTCCTCAAAGCATTTTCTATTGAGTTGGAATTCAGGACCTTCAGTATAACTGTACAGTTCTGCAAAGAGGGAACAAAAGCTCATTACTTTATAACACTAGACATTTACTGTATTTCAAATAGAAGGGAGTCTTGGCAGTTCATTTTATATCAAGTCTATCCATTTTAAGAGTTTAGCATTGAAAGATAACTTGCCATCTTGAACTGCTGTCAAAGTTCAGTTTTACCAAGCTTAATTAGGCTCAGGTAGGGTCCATCATCCCAGACAACTCCCAGACAACTCAACACCCAACAAGCAAGCAGGAAAAGAAGATTATTCTTTTCAAAGATTATTTGAAAACAGATTTTAAATAAGGTCTTCACATGTTGGTTAACAGCCAAACTTTAATAACAGTTTAGCTATTCAGAACTAATTCTTAACTGTGTACTGTTTATATTTCTCTTTTATGGAAGTACTATAAAATAAGGCTAGATTGAAAATAGTATGATAGAAATCTTTTCTTTTACTGAGAAGACAATCTTAATGAAGTTATGGGGATTCCTCAAACAGCATGGGGTTAAAGAGGAACCCGTTCAGATATCTCCCACCAGCAATTCACAAGGTATCACAAAATATTGACAAACTGACCACTATTTAGAAAGTTGACTAATATTGAGAAGCAGAAACATTTAGCAGTAGTGATTAAGACCCTTTGCTGAAGTTGAAAAACAAAGAAGATAAGGGACTTGAACTACAACTTAAACCACACAGGTAGTCCTTGACTTACAATCACAAAGAAGCCCAGAATTAGGCTGTGGCTGCTACAGTTATACGTCAAGGCATCAGACTCAGTATTACAACTGGTTTTCCAACAATTGTAAAGCAATTGATCTTTAAGTAAATTACATAGTTGTTAAAGGAATCATGTGGTCATTATGCAAATCCAGCATATTCAATGGGCTTTTGCTGGAAATTGGCAAAAAAATCATGCAGATCACATCATATGACCACGGGATGCTGCAATCAGTCATAAATACAAGCAGATTGCTAAGTGCCCAAAGTGTGATTATGTGACCATGGAGATTGTAGCAGCCATAACTTTGAGGATGGGTTGTAAGTAACTTTTTTAAAAGTCTGTCGTAACTTTGGTGGTGATTAAGCAACCAGTTGTAAGTTGAGGATTACCTGTACAAAAGAAATGAAAAATGAAAACTTTCAGGTGAATGCTACTTCTTCACCAAAACTTTATAAAGCTGTCCTCATTAAAAAATTATGCAAAATTAACTAGTAACATGAAACTGGCAGTGGAAATTAATAGGCTACATTGCATTTCAGGTTCAAAGGAGTGAACAGCACATTTCTGCTGCACCTGTCAGTCACTCTGAGCTGCACCATGATTCAGGAAATAATGCTTGGTTTACTCAGTTGCTGACAGCTGCTTACAAGCATGCCTACCCTTGTTCACTTTGAATCTGAAGCCTACTGAGCACTACAAATTACAGCAACTGGTTTAACTTTTGTGTTGTATAGATATAAGCAAAGGAACTCAAGCAATTCCTGCTTTACCTGAGAGCTCAGCGGTCCACTTGTCAGCATCTGCATATTCAAACTCAAAATCTGGTGATTCTGAATAGCCCTGGAAGAAGAAGCTTAACTCAATTGTTTTCTACAGCTGGTTTTTTTTTTTAAATTAAAGAAAACTAAAGCTTCCACATATAGCTTCACTGTTACCATGGTAACTCATATGTACAAAATGAGTACTTTCACTAGGAGTGGAGCACAGCTCAAAACCAAAAACCTCCAGTCTTTATTTTTTACTCTCCCCCATGGTACTTTGCTATTCTGCTCAGTCTCTTATGCCCCATTTAGGCTTGCCAGAACAAACATCCTCTGTAGGCTCTACGGTACTACTCTATCTTCAAAACCAAACCCACTAATTTTAATAGGCTCTTTCCAGATGAAGACTTTCATTCTTCACCCTCTCTCCCCTTGTAAATAATTATTCGTACCCAGAGACTGAGGGCAGAGCTATTTTTTCATTGTATTTCCCCCCTTTTTATTGTGTTGTTATGCATCTTGATAAACAATATTGTACTGAAATGACAATGTATGATTATAACCACAAATTCTTGACATTCTGTTATTTAATTAGGATAGAGCTTTTTTTTTTTTTTTTTTTTTTTTAAAGGAAGAGCTCTGTACTGTATTGAAGCAGGTCAGACTGACAAACAAAACTCTAGTGCGGTGTTTTCCAACCTTGGCATTCTGGGAATTGGAAGTCCGCTCATCTTAAAGTTGCCCGGCTTGAGGAACCCTGTTCTAGGGGTTACCTGGTCAAGCCTTTCGTCTGAGCGAAGAAAGGCAAAACTCGTGCGGAGGCGGCTGAAGGGCCTTTGAAAGAGAGGCGGAGACCTGATGATAAAAACCCACGCCCGCGAACAGAACGAGGACTCTCAAACCGACCCTGTTCGCCCTTCGCAGCCCCTTAGCGACTCAGAGGCCACCGCCAAATCAAGTCACTCCGGCGGCAGGGAGGGCAGCTACCGGCTCCCTGAAGGCGCCCTAGCATCATCCCCAAAAGGCGGGGGGCAAGTCCGTGCCGCCTCCCCACCCGCCCGCTCGCTCTGCCTAACCTCCGAGTCTTTACGTTGGTTACGATTAGGCTCCCGGCCCTTCCCTCCCGCCAGTGGCGGGGGCGTCGTCGTGGTCAGTCCAAGTCCTCCGCTCCGTTGTTTGTTATTGACAATCAGCAAGCCCGGACCACCGCCGCCGCCGCCGCCGCCCGGCTCCATCACGACGGGCCGGCAGCTCTCGCGTCAATTGAGAGGCGCGGCTCGGGAATCTCAGAGGAAACGTCACCATCTTAAGCGTGGCGGTTGAGGGGCGGCTTTGTCAAGGTGCCATCTTGAGCGTTGCTGCAATCTGTTAAGGTACTGTAGTAGAGAACGCGGAACGAATGCGGAAGTCATCTTGGTTGCCTCGCGTCTAACGCTGACCTGTTTAGACCTACCCTTTTGTGGTTCGCAGAGCTTTTTAAGTGAAGTTGTTGCGGGTATCCCGCATTAGCTTATGAGTGTAGTCAACTAAATTTTTAAACCTGCATGTCCTGCCGAAATTAAGTCGAATTACAAAATCTGGGTTGCAAGAATCCGAATGACCGTTGGAAGTTAACCCTTGCAATCTCGTGGCCGTGTTGATTTTTGCAATGGAGGCAGACGTGCAGATTTACCTTAAAGCGTTAGTATGCAACAGAAATATAGTAAGGTTGGTCCATGTAGCGTTTTTAATTTTTTTTACCGTTTATTGTGTTGCTCAAAAATATCTTGTTATAATGACATTTGCCAGGGGAACGAAGCCTTAGGTCCTGTATAAATTGGGACGGCCACTATCTGGAGTAAATAAAATCCAAGCCTTCAAATACTTTGGCCACCTAATGAGAAGGAAGGACTCACTGGAGAAGAGCCTGATGCTGGGAAAGATTGAGGGCAACAGAAGAATGGGAGGACAGAATGAGGTGGCTGGATGGAGTCACTGAAGCAGTAGGAATCAGCTTAAATGGACTCCAGAAGATGGTAGAGGACAGGAAGGCCTGGAGGAACGTTGTCCGTGGGTCGCGATTGGTCCGACACGCCTTTGCAACTAACAACAACAAATGTTTATCTGGGTTTAATACAGTAGCCCTATTAAAATTTAACAAGCCGAACACAATTGGTTTTCTAAGTAGGTGAGTATTCAGCGTGAACATGGTATTTGAAATTGGGCTGATACACACCAAGAGAAATATACATATTAGTAGAAAAAGAACTTTCTGATTAAATGTAAAAATGTAAGCCTTTAACGGAGCTCAAAATTTTGTGCCTTTTATTTTGCAGCTATGAAGAGTTAATTCATCTGTTAACACCCAATTCAAAATTAAGTGATAAGACATTTTATTAACACTAAGCATTTATAATATTTCTAGGCAGACGGAAACTTACTGGAAGCTGAACTTTAGGTATACCAGATGATGTAAGTTTTTATTTATTCATGTGTGCTTCTTAAAGGCTACATTATCAAATTTCAAATTCCCAAATATGTAGCAGCGCCATAAAATATGACTATACAGCGACCTGGATTTGAAAGGTGAAATGTGATTTGTGGGCATCTTTGGGAGAAGATACATTGCTTTACAGTGTTCCTTAACAGTTTTGGAATGTTGCCTGCCAAATCACATTTTGCTCTTCAAATCTATATTACGGTACTTCATCATCCTGCTGAATAATCTGTTTGGCTGGCAGAAAAAGAAGCTTGTTTGAAATATAATTTGGAATAATGTGGCTGATTTATCTCTTAAAATTTGTCTTCGCCTCCAGCTTTGTCAATAAACTGGTACATATTTTTAACTACCATGTTCAAATGTACACTGGAAAAATTCTCTTATAAAATGTACAAAGTGCTACTGGCTGCTACAATATGACTACATCCTGGCTACTGTTTCCTTTTGATAGTTTGTTTTCCAATCTTGTTGTTTTCCAATCTGGACAAGTTCCAGATGTATTAATTTACAGTCCCAGAATTCTTTGCAATAAAATGCCAAATGTAGAATTCTGCGAGTTAAAAGTTTTACACATCTGGAAATTGCTTACATACAGGAACACTATTCTGTGTGAACATATTACCACCACTGCTATAATAATATATGTGTAGCAACAAACAAAGGGGTGGTAAATGAAAGCACCAGAGGTTGAATAAAGTCAGCATGCTGAAGGAATATTTAGAGAAAGAGGACTTCAGTCAACTGAGATTTATTTCACTATGGTTACAAAAATACTGCAATTTAAGGAAAATGTTTTTGCAATCTTTGTGCTTCCTAATTCTTAAGATGTTCACACACAGTGGAATAAAAAATGAAGTTGAATACAAGTTACTTCTGCTCAGGTCATGTTTTTTTGTATAGGAGAAAACAACATTCCAAAACATCCACGTATTACAATATGCATTATATTGGCTTGTGGAATAGGAACAGCATTTAGAACATTATACTGAATTTTGAAGCAATACAAAGTATTTCTAATGACATTATATTCAGCCACAGATAGTGGAGACACGTTTGCAATATATAGCAAAATCCCCAATTTGAATTGGTACTGCCAGAATGCTAATCAAAACCAAGCCCATATCTTATCATAGACAAGCTATTGCTACACTGGCCAGAATCATCCTTGGTTTTATGGCTGCAGTTTTTAAACTTCCTAGTATCAAGTCCTACTCTATTCATCCTTTTTTAGATTTCCAAGTCATTTCTATTTCTAATTGTTCTGTACCTCTTTTCTTTTCTTTTTCCCATTAAAGGATTTCCAAAATGTTCATTTATAATTTTGATCTCCATATTCTTTTAGGAATTCATGTAGTCTTGCAAAAAATTTCAAAATCTAATTTGTAACTCTCAAATACAAAGATCTTCTAGATTTGACTTTTTATCAAATTTTTGTACCACCCATCACTCTTGCATGCCTCTGAAGGCTTTTACAGGTCTTTACAGTTTAGAAACCAAAAGCTGGTTATTAACTTTTCTGGGCCCTAAAATCATCAGGGGCCTGGTGAAAGAACCATTTTAAGAGTAGACTTGTAGTAACAGAATGTTTGCTTCAGATGAATTTGTACGAGGCATTTTACTTTTCCCAGAACTTTCAGATCTTGTTGCATCCTTTAAAATCTGTTAGCCCCCATTTTCATTCTCTGTTTCTTTATTAAGATGAAGCAAATTTGTATGCTGTATCACATTTTCTGTATTGTTTATTTCTATAGTTTTTATAAGATAAACTATGTTAACAAATTTTATAACTGAAAGCCGGAGAGTTGAAAGCTAGAGTGGGAAGTTGAAAAAAAAATACCACAGGACTTCAGAAGCTAACAGTGGGAACCACCTCTATACTGGTGCCAAGAAAACTGGTGCATGTCTTTTTCCATGACATCACCAAGAGCTAAGTTCAACTTAAGGAGATTTCATTTTTATTTCTGCTCAGCCAGGTGGCAGCATCTAGCTAACCCAACTGATCTAGAAGATCTAAGCAGGTTAATACTTGGTTAGTATTTGGATGGGAAGGTAGGATGAAATCTAGAGCTGGTAGGTTAAGTTGAGAAGGTAAAATCTTAGGCCATGGCAAGCCGCTTCACTGATAGGGCTGTTAAGTCATCAGCTCAATTGAAAGGCCACTTTAAAAAAACAACAACAATGCAACAAACCTGGAAACTTCTCAACAATATCTCAACCTGTACATAGATGATATGGCAAACCTACCCTTTTATCTGAAAAAGCATGACCAGAGGATGATTCAAATCAATTTTAAGTTTATATTCTTTGTTTTGAACAGCATACTTTTATAGAAGTGAATATTCAAGCAGTATCCAATCTATAAATCTATCTTAGATGAACTTTAATAATTTTAATTAGTTTAAGTTATTGGATCAAGTTATACACTGTATAATAAGACTACTGGCAATAACAAAAAGAACCATGCTGATTAATGAGAATTAGCTTAGATCTACTGCATATGTTTTCTAGATAGATTTAAGTACTGATATTTTCCTTGATGTTTTGTAGTTTCTGAGGTTAGCACAACACAAGTTATTTTTTTCCCCACAAAACTTGCTAGGGGAGGAAAGGATAGGTATGCCTCAAGGCAGAAAAATATAGTATATATTCCTCAATCCATACTTCTTTTACTCTGTTCAAAAAAGGATGAATAGGTTGCCAGTTATAAAGAGGTAACGGTAATATGGCATTACTTAAGCAGAAGAAAAGAGTACTGAAGTCAAAGATAGCTTTCTAATCATTTATTCAGACTTTGCGTAATGATTATTGCTCATTTGCAAGGATTATTAATATTGCATTCATTAAAAATCATTCATATACAAAATAAACCTATCCCCATCTGGACTAATGCTATAACATGCTCCCTCTGATTGAACTGAGGTGTTGCTAGGTATGAGAATTTATTTCATGGCTTATACAGAGATGGAGCCCTTAGCTAAGATATTTATCGACATTGCAACATAGAGGCAGAGAAATGGAATGAAAAAGTCCTCCTAAACTTCTGGAGGTCTTTCTGGAATACACTCTGCTAGATTTACCTAATTCAGTTAGAAGAAATTGTAAGAGTGCTGTGAAAAGTAAAAAAATAAAATTCAAGATATCATCCCAATGAAATATTTGAAAAAAAAAGTATGTTTGTTCAAGCTGGCATTATTGTATGATCAAGAAAACAATAATTTGGCCTGGACATACTTAAAGTCAGATTCTGAAACGGAGGGGACTATGAACATCTCGAGGCAGAGTAAGCTTCTCTACAAAAAGTCAACGTCCAGCATTATTCTGCAAGACTAGTAGATGTCACTATGTTACTGCCAAAAAGAAATACTTATTTGGATACTTATTGAGAGAGTCATTTAGAAATAGAGAGCAAGCATGATGAATGTGCAAATGTTTGGTATCTCAGGGTTGTCGTCAAATTATAAGTGCTTTACTCTCTTCAGTGAAGGACTAACTACCAAAAGGCCTTTATCATACAATAGTGGGGCAAAACCTATGAAGGAGCTAATAATATCTTCAATATTTACATCTAGTTTTCCACAAAGATTACATAAAAAGGCAAGGGAAAAAAAATCAAAGTTGGTCATTATGTTCACAAAATCTCTGGCTCACTGATGCTATCCCTTGATACTTCAGCAGATCAGACCCCAGCTTGACTCACTATCTTTCACCTAACTTTTGCTTTTCCTAATCCTGAAGCTCCTCTTCCCCTCCTCCTCTCCCTCTCCATTTCATGGCACTATAATAGGAAACCTGGGTTGTACTATAATCTCACAGGAGAGATACCAGTGCATCATATTAACTGGACAGAATATACTAATTACTAGGATAAAAAAGTTAAAGCAGTAGAGCACTTGAAATAGTAGTGCCAATGGAAAGGGATCCACCTTCACTGTTCATTTGGTACAAATGGAGCCTGAAGATGGAGAGAAGTGCCTTACATAATGAGTAACTCTCTCTAGGATCTTAAAACCTACCATAAATGATCATTCAAATGTTTCCTGTGCTATGTGAATGAAGGAATGGAGAACACGAGATGACATCTCAGTTCCAAGAGGGCTGATCTGATTGGTGGTGGTCCCAAAATTCTGCTAAGTATGAACTAAAATAGTCTCTAGTTTTTCAAACCAGAAGCAAATTAATTATTTTAAACTACAGCCTTTAAGAATATGATATGGGTACATCTTGATTTAAAGCAGCATAAAATAAAATAATTGAAAATTGAAATGCTAGACAATGGATAGCCGTATCCATTTCAATTCAGTTTAGCACCCTAGCAACTTAAAAAGAGAAGTTAAAACTGCCTACATTTAGTATAACCAGGCATGCAGTTATACCTGAAGTAGGAAAAAATATCTTAATTGATCATAAATAATAGGTGATATTGTCCTACTGAAATCAAGAGGACATTTTTCCACATAAAGAATGAAGATTAGGCATTTGTGGAATATACACCTATAACCCAACTGGCCACAAGGTGTCAAGTCTGTTCCCGTGGAGGAGAAGGAACACTGATGTAGCAGCTAATAAATAGGGGCTCATTAAGGCAATTTAGAATTTGCAATTTTCACACAGAAAAAATAGTACTCTTAATATTCTGCAGTTCTGCCAGCTACAACTAAGGTGCTCTGAAATTTTTAAATTAAAAAAATAAAATCACATGAAAAGAATGCCCCACGTAACCATTGGAAATCCTCTCCCCAGTACCAGAGGAAGAGAATTAAAACCACATTACTTCTGTGGTGGTGTAGCAAGGAATCCCAAATTGTTTGCAGGGTCAGTACTGTGACAGGGAAATATTAAAAAGAATTGGACAGGATAATATAATCACATGAATAAAACAAAAGTCTTCCAAAGTGACACACAAAAAGTTATTTAAAAATATTTCTGCTAAAGCTCTTGTGTATATTATGTGGTCTGGTTCTTCAGCATTATGGTCCATCAGTACCTACAGCAAAAAAAAAAAAAAAAAAAAAAACAGGAAAAAAAAGACAGTTAAGCAAGGTGCAAGGCCAAGTACCTTTTGGGCATCAAATTTATTGCCCCTACCAAATGTAATCTTTCTTTGTTTAATGCAAAAAAAAAAAAAAATAGCACTATAGACAATTAAGCCAATTTGTTTTACATTTTATCTATGTTTAAATAAAATACAGCCTTTTTTTTCAGCATTTATAACCACATTATCAGGCTGGGAATGATAAAAAGCCAACAATAATAGCTTATCACTGAGAAATGATAACACTCTTCTATTCATTCTGTTGTAATAAAGCACAGCCATTAAGTCTCTTTCTCATTTTATCTCATGGAGATCTTACCTATAATAGTTTGGTTTGAAGGGCCCATTTTTATTGAGTCCCAAATATTTTGCTTGATCATCTGTTAGTTCTGTCAGATGAGCGTCAAATGATGGCAGATGCAAGCTGGCAACATATTCATCTAGGAAAATAAATAGCTATTAGTTTAAGCTTTTTTTAAAAAAAAATTGTTTATACCACCTCAAAGCTTTTAAGAAGCTAATCTGGAAAATAGTCCCTCCAACATTAGTCTCTAGATGAGGCCCTCTGCAAGGTCTAGCAGAGCCATTATTACAGATTGCATAAATACTGAGGCAGAAGGATAATACACTGAGTATTTTCTTGACTTTTACTCCCTCATCATTCTAATATGGATCTTTTTATTCTTTCATATTTTGATTTTGAAATGGACATTATAATTTAAGAGGTAAAAAGATCTTGACATTCTAAACTCAATATTGAATAAAAATATTTTTTAATTCTAGAAAAGGATAGCAGTTGCTTCTTTGTATTTTTCAAAGTGAAGATGTTTCATTAGTGTACTAATCAACAACTTTATTAGTACCCCATGAAAACATTTATGCAATTTCCTCAGATTTTATGCAATTTCCTTTTTTCAAATTTCTTATTTTAGTGCTGGCAATGCGTTTAAACACATCCTATTATCTGATAGTTTTAACTGCATGCCAAGTTTATGTCTATGGAGATTTTCAGTTATCCAGGTCATAGTTATCCCAAAGGTGCTTTTTCATGAGGCAACTAGACTTTCTTTTTCTTTGAAGCTGTTTCGCTTCTCATCCCAAAAGCTTCTTCAGCTTTGACTGGATGGTGGGGAATGGAAGGATTTATACTCCTTGCAGACAGCTGGTCATTTGCATTCTTTCTGAGAGTCATTGAGGCCACCTGGAGGTTATCTGTGTCATCAGGGTTGCTACTACTCAGGTGACCCTGACAACACAGATAAACCTCCAGGTGGCCTCAATGACTCTCTAAAAGAATGCAAATGACCAGCTTTTTGCAAGGAGTGTAAATCCTTCCATTCCCCACCATACAGTCAGAGCTGAAGAAGCTTCCTGGATGAGAAGTGAAACGTCTTCAAAGAAAAACAAGAAAGTCTAGTTGCCTCATGAAAAAGCACCTTTGGGATGCCAAGTTTATATTAAATTCAAAAATCTAAATAATAAAATAAAATGCACTAGATAAAAAGTAATTAAATAATTTCAATTAAAAAAGCTATTTATAAAAACATTAGAATTAAAGTGGCTTAAGACTCATATGAAATGAGTAGATAACACAAATCAAAAGTATATCAAACTACAGATAGATAAATAGACAGACAGACAGACATGGCTTACATTTCAAGGGGTCTTTAAATACAATTCAATAATCAATGAATTGCAGCTAAGAAATCAATGATTATTTACTTACCCATCTTCTTAGGCAACAGATATACATCTTGTTTGTATCTTCCCTCAGGGGCATTGTAAAGCTCAATCAGAGCCAGAGCCTATTAAAATTAGAGAGATGCTGAAATTAACAATAACTGCAGAGTTTATATTTATGCCCAATGATAAAGACATTTAATTAGAAATAGTAAATATACTTTAAATGCTGCATTGTGGGACTCCTAGCATTTATGGATAACTGAAGAAAGTGCTAAAGTACTATTATATATGTAGATTATCAAACAGAATATATTTTTTATTGTAGACACAATACAATCTAAATGAAAGGGAAGTGACTGATAACTCTATATTTTGCCCAAAATGGAGAAGCAGCAATTTGGGAAAAAATGAGAACATGTTATTAAGTTAACTGTAGTAAACTGAGACGTGTAACTGAAGCTATTTAACAGAAAAGCCCCTCCCCCTTACATGTATAATTTTTACACAATTATGTTTTCAAAGGCACACATACCAAAATAATGGGCAATTAACTGCCTTTAAAGATGACAATTAGAGCAATGGAATAAGATAGTAGCTTTAATATATTATCTAGGGATTCATTATGCAAGGATGAGGTTTCACATCTCAAGGAACTTAAACTTTTCTTATAATAAAACACTTGATACACATGTGGGCAGGGACAGGGGAAAATTCAGAAAGAAATACATGACATTTAATAAATAAATAAAAAGAAAGCTGCACCCTTTTCAAATAATGGGTGGGGTTTTCAACAACCAGCAAATTCTGCTTCCTGCAGTTACTCACTTGCTTTTCAGTCACCTTACTTATTTTTCATGCTTTCATTGCATCTAAACATTTATATCCAAAGCCTGAATTATAGGAAATTTATTCTTTGGTGACTGCTGCAGAATGTATATGTTTCATATGTATGCTAATACAGATAATCTATATTATGTATAAATTTCTTCTATTTTCTTTCTTCACAATCAATACATTGCAAATGTAGAATAAGGCAAAGAGTCTAAGTTAAGTATTGGCAACTGAATACCTGAGTGGTAGCCGTGATGGACAGGACAAAAGTAGGAACAGTTGAACAGCTTAGATTCAGAAGTCGCCCCTATGTTAAAAACAAAACAAAATACCTCTGAGATAACTGCAAAGGGTAAACATGGATTAGAGCCATTAAAACTGAGGACAATACTTTAGTTTCAATTTACTTTATCAAATGCCTACTGACAAGAAATGTGAAGCTGATCTGAACTTATTAGATAATATCTTAAATCTTTTAAATCCTGAAAAACTAATATCTCTGTATAGTTTAGATGTGAGGAAATTAACTCATTGGGAAAATAATCAGTTTCAGATATTAAGATTAGCTGAACCCAAAAGAGCCGCACAATCTAGGAATAAGGGTGACGTTCATATTCACATTAATCTTGTTGGCTTTGCATTTCTGCATAACCGAAATATCCTGAATTGTACCGAAAAAAACAGCTTTTTGTTTTAGTTCCATAACTGTTTGCCAGAACTATTTATTCTTATGTATAATGATTTATAGCTAGGTAACACACCATGCTATTTTTCACTATCTTGAATCTTGAGAAGCAGTTTAAGACATACCTGAATCTTTCTACACATACCTCAGCTAGTAGAACAACTCGCTTGCCATCAGGCCAGATTACATGATCCACCTGAGAACGTACCCGCTCCCATGTAAGTTCTGGGGTACGAAGACTAGCCTGAGAAAGGAAACATTCAGAGAGGTTCATCTACAATATTTCATTGGGAGAAGAGAAAAGGGAAATCAAGGATAATAAATACTCACCACATCAATTTCAGTGTTGGAATGTCCCATGTTGCATACAATGCAACTATTCTTCATTCGATCCAAATGTTCTCTTGTCACCACATTCTTATTCCCTACATTGAAAAAAGGCATCTAAAGCAAGCTGGTGATTTACTTTAGCTATCCTATTTTTCCTTTCATGTCCCTAAATTTTTAATTCTAATCTTACATATAGAACAAAACAGCAAGTTATATAATCAATATGTTCCAACACTTTGAAGATTCTTACATTATTTTAACATTGAGCTTTGAGGAGGGAAGTCTAATCTTTAACCATCCAAAAATAGAAAATCAGAATTTTAAAATTTCACTGCTGGGAAATAACGTGAACTTAAAACAGGCACATTACTTGTCTTTCTCAGAATGCTTTACCTGTGCAGGTTATGACTACATCCATCTGCCGAATTACTTCATTGAGTTTCACTACTCGAAATCCATCCATGCTACCACCCAGAAATGAAAAAATAAAGGAACATTGGTCAAAGCACTGCAAAACAATAGGATGAACAATCTGTCCATCTAACCAACTTTTCAAAATTGAATAAATTAAAAACTCATTGTCAATATTGCAAAATAACTGAATATTTATCTATTCTTAAATTGTTGCTTAGATCACTAACTTATTTCATAAGTAAGTTGATACAAAGACATTTTCAGAGAGATCGATAAAAATAATTTCACCATTATTGAAATGTAAAGGAATTCTTCAGGTACATTTGTAATACAGGACCAGTATTAATAAGAACTAGGCGTGTTCTTATTAATACAGTCAAAGAATCAGATCATATTATCATACCTTATCAGATCATAACTAATGATAACTAATTGATATCTGAAGTTTGAGTAATGAATTGAAAGGAATTAAGGTTTAACATTGTTTTTTTTTAATTAAGTTAGTTATCATTGGAAGAAGAAATGAATGAAATTGGTGATAAGAGGGTTGAGAGAGATTAAAAACTTCAATATACATAGTAGAGATACTTGAAGTGATAATTTGTTGATGTAAAACAATATTTGATTATGATAATTTTAAATTGATAAAGCTTTAAAACAGGTGGAGCAGTAACAGAAATTTAAGCTAGAAATGGAATATATTAAATCTATTATGTTATTTGTGAGAAATAGAGAGATGATAGTGAATGTATTAATTTGAGCTGTTTATGCATGTTTTTTTACCTTGAATTGTTTGTTTACCCAAACACCACGGTGTGTCTAAAGTACTCTTTGTTTAAATTAAAAAAACCAATAAAATATATTTTAAAAAATACAGTCAAAGAATCCAAACCAATTTGTATTGCTATGTTTTAAAGAGCAAAAGATGACAAATATTCATGAGGCACACAGATTCCCACATGCCCAACGGTGAATTACTTCCAATTCTCAGTGACCTGTTTTCCTTTTCACAATTTGGTAATCCATTTGATAGATTTCATTGACTGACATTGTCTGAAACAGTAGCAATAGAATAAATAAACCAAAGTAGCCCAGAACAGCTAATATCAGATTAAGTTTGATATTACTTGATTGCTTTTGTGTACACTAGATATGCAATACTCAAACACTGTTTGCATAAAAGAGTATTTTGCCAGCTGTGAAAAAAGAGCAAATAAAGTATAAGACATTCCTAAAAGCATAGTATGCAAGTCAGGGGTTCGATACTCAGCATGATCTGAGTACTTTCTAGAAGCCAAGTTACATTCCATTCCATTCTATTAAAAAATAACTGCAGAAAAGTTAAATAGCCACACCTATTAAACAGTTATTGTACTACGAAGTACCTTTGTAACTGGAAGATGGATCCAACAGAAAGGATAACCCACCTCCACTAGCTGGAAAGTAGGGCCTAACACTTCTTCCTATTCTATGGAAGAAACCCCCTCCCTCCAGTTGCATGCCTTGACTTCAAATGAGTACATTTCTACTTCTATTTCATGAAATATTTCACAGTACTAAGACTTGCCACAGGCAGAGAATACATGGGAAACAGAAGAACAATGTAAAACCATTAATAATAGCACAGCAGTACAATGTGTATTTTGAACCTGGATGTTTGGATTTCTCTAACTTTATTCACCTCCAGTACAGTGGGACTGTTGAGTCCATCTTTTCTGATAGCTAGAAAAATATTTCATGATAAAGCCTAACTACTTTTCTTAGTTACCCAAGATGAAGCTGACAGTAAAGGACATTTTACCTAGCACTACTCCCAGCACAAGTCAGTATAATTGTTATAACCATTTTTGTAACACTGGATACCCCAAAGCTGCATCTGTACAGATGGACTTATTTATTTTATAATATATAAGAAAGGTGGTTAGTTATTCCTAGACTGCCTCCCTATAAAATGTCTAGTACTGTTGTTAAAGCTGTTGATGTAACTGCCTCTTATCAAATCAACTATAGTGCTGGAAGGGCACTTCTACTTCTTGCTGGCTGGATATGCTAAATCATCTAAATCTAAATACATCTTCTAACCCTGACATGTCAAATTCGCGACGTCACTTGACATTGCGCGACATATTGGAACTTTTTCCCCATTGCCTGCAATGGGGTGGGCGTGGTTTCCTCGTGACGCATTCGGCCCATGGGCCGGCAGTTTGACACCCCTATTCTAACTGATCTGCAAACAGTGGATCATGTACTCTTCCTTGATCTTCTCTTTTGAAGGAGACAAATTACCAGCCCTTCATAGACTTGAGTTATTTATAAAAATAATAAAGGTGAGATTAAAAAAAAATATAACATAAACATTAAAAAATCCTTCTAAAACATATCTGAAGTAGCTTCTTAAGAGTCTTGTATATGCTGCATCCATTATTGGGGAGGGGGGAGGAGAGAGAGAATCGAGGTAGAAATAGACTTGACTTTGGTTATGCAGCAGGAATCTGGTTGTACCACCAATTTCTTGCTGGTAGATTGGTTGCTGGTGCTGTCATTTGCCTTTGCTTTGCATCAGGAGGCTGTCATTTTTTTTAGCTTGGCCCAGCCTTTCTGGCTAACAGACTGCGCTGGCTCTGACAGCATTACTTTTCCCCCATGTTTTAAAATTCAGCTGCCAAATAGCATCTTGTGTTTGCCTACTGCCCCACTGATCAACTTGAAGATGGTTGGTCAGAATGGCTTTGGTATCCTATGGGGCAGGAAGAACTCTTATGAGCGCCCTTCTATTTAGAAGAGATGGATTTAACCCTTTCCTTAGGATCCATCTTCAGTGATGAAGAATTTTATTACATTTATATTACATTAATGGGCTGCATTTAATTTTACTCCTTTGTTTACAGGATGGAAAAGCCACAATTCAATCCTAAGTTGTAGCTGTCCTCTTGTTCCAAATGGTGACCAAGGCCTCCGTCAAGCTGTGCATCAGTTCTTCAGGAACAATATTAATCACAAAGCCCTTAAAAAGTTAATAAAGAAGCGCATATCTACTGCAGGATAGCTTTGATTTCAAGTTTTAGATAGAAGAACTTTTAATAATTGGTTTCACTTCAACCTTCAGAAGTGGTCACCAGAAGAACAACCAAAAGTGATAAAGAATGCTGTCAGAGAATAATGCTTGTAACAGCTCATCTCTTACCAAGCTTGAAGGGCACAGATGGGATCAATCTCTGTGATATAAACAATTCCTCCCAGAGCCTTCAGAGCTGCACAGCATCCCTTTCCAACCTGCGGTATCCAAAAATAAACACAAAATCAGAAGCTGGAAAACAATGTCTTGTCTACCTGAAAAGCAACAGTAGGTAACTATGATTTGAAATTTCTACACTAAAATTCAAATGTGTATAATTGGTGTATTAACTAATGAACATTGATGGACTGGTAGCAAAAATACTCAGGAGTAACTTGTAGCCTCCCCCTTAATAGTATTCTTCCTGTTAGTATGGCATGAATATGTTACTTCTATCCATTCTTTTACTCATGGCTGCACTACTATTATTCATTAGCTAAATGTATGATTGATGCAATTATAACAGGAATTGATAACGTTTGCACTTGATGCCAAATATGATTTTTTTTAAAAAAAATATTGTTTATTTTAAAGGGATTAGCCACTGTGTGCATACCTGGGGAATGTGCATACCTTTATATTCTCATTTTACAAACCTTAAATACCTTGGATATCACCATACTTCTCAATTAAAAAAAAGCTTCCTTATTGTCAACTTTGAAAAAAAAAATAATTAAAATATTTAAAGCAGATTTATTTTCTGAGTTGGGAAATATTATACCACAACACAGAGAGGAAACAGGAGAGAAAATAAAATGTGGCCAAGAAATTATCACATATGAAAATGCTTCCTCTGCTCAGTTTATTACTAAGGCCTATCTCATGACAATTATCAGTTTAATCATGTAACGAAGACTCACACTTTGAGGAAAAATACACACTATTTTCTGCTGTATAAGGAAAGGGGAAAGGAAGGAAAGGAACCATTTTAATACTGATTTTGAACAACTAGAAAGAATTCCAGATTCCTCTTGCTGCTAAGTCTCTTGCATAAACAATCACTTGCACTACTGCCATAAATTATTATATAGGCTGCTGTTGTAAAATTTTAAAAATGTGCAGAATTCCACATTGCCATTCATATGGAACCATGTTGAAATAATACATTCCATTCACATGTTAAGATTATCTTGAATATAATTGATGTGTTTTGCATACATTATTAATTGTAGTAGTGTAAAAATACTCACTGATAGCACTTGCAATTATTCTGAGTGGCTTACAATTAGATACATCATTTTCTGTTACAACACAATTGCTTGCTAATTGTGCTTTTATTTAAGCAAGAAAGTATTACTAGTAAAAGGCAGATAATGAATACAAGAAATAATGAAGGCTACACAAAGCTAGCTATTTGCTTGTACTCATGAGAGCTCATAAAAGGACATTAAGATTATGGATCACTTCTAATACTCACCTCACCATAGCCACACACTACTACTTGCTTGCCTCCAAACATAACATCCGTTGTCCTCTTTAGACTACAGAAAACAAAGCAACACATTTTGAAAACACAATTCTCTTAGATTCTTCAATAAAGTAAAATTTTCAGTCACTGTGTATCACAGCAGTGTAATAATGATTTAAACCTCTGGCATAAAACTGAACATAAGTATGTGACACAAAAGCTGAATTTTCAATTTTTTTCCCCCTCAGTCCAAACTCACCCATCCAAGATGGACTCTCTGCAACAATACAAGTTATCAAATTTCTGTTTGGTGACAGAATCATTTACATTCATAGCAGGAACACAGAGTTTTCCAGCTTTTGATAACTGGTACAATCTGAAAAAAGAAGTGGGGAGGGGATGGAATTTTTCCAAATTAAAGTACGATGATCTTGGCTGCAAATATTTGGATAACCATTAGTCAGCAGCCAACAGTTACGTTTTTCTACACCATTCTGCTGCTAACTAGAGGTCATTTGAATTTCTGCAGCCCAGATATGGGCTCTCTAATTAAAAATCAGTTGAGAAATGCAATGATCAGAAAGAGACATTATTACACTTTTTGGTTAGAAGCAAAGCTTTAAGTAGCAGCAATAGATCGGCTCCTTAACAAATTCTCATTTAGATATGCACAGAGTTCTTACTTTTAAAAGATCAGAATAGGGAAGAATTATGTAACTTTCAAGATTTATTTAGTCCCATATACGTAAAGCTTCAATGAACATAGTGATATGTGTAATAGTGATAGTAATAGCAAATATCTAAAGAAAATCTTTGTTAATGCCAATTATATCGAGTTTATGAAAGAATAGCTGCATTACCTTAAGGGAAGCAAACACAGCCATCACCCAAGGAAACATACTCTTTATCCATTAATTCAATTTTGAGTAACAGCTCAGTGATAACACAATTATTTAGTCTTTTGTATTTGTAGATACTGCTGTAGATATTCTTCCTTGGCTAAAGTCCAGTGTAGATGATACTGAACTAACTGACACTATTGTCAGATGTGGTATAAAACAATGTCTTATGCTTGTCAATTCATCCCTGAGTTACTACTGGAAACTTAGAACAGGTTGCATTTCCCACATACATTTAGTACTAAAACTGTAAGAGAAAGAAAACAGGAGTAAAAAAGAATTAAATGTGAACATAGTAGAGTACCTCCAACCATTTCTAAGTTAAGAGAATATTAAATTGAACATGCTAACTACTTTTCTTCTTCATAAACCCAAAATGTGATATAAGTAATTAAAAGGAAGAGCTTCTTCATTTTTATCTTAAAGATAAAAGAACTATAATGTTCCATGTATTAATAGGGAAATAAGTAAGAAGAAAATGTGCATATTGTCTTAACATCATTCTACCACAGCTTTATTTCACCTGTTGCTCACTCCTGTCATGAGCTATTAGTTTATAAGACTTTGTGATAGTGAGCTTTACTGAATTTTGTGCTTACAAAACAGAAATAAATAGGCCCCAACATAGCTAAAACATCATATTTAAAGAACAGAGATAAAGTTCTTCTTTGTTACCTGTGCACACCCGTCACACTCTCTTCCACAATGCCTCTGATCTTCTTAAATACATTGGGATATTTCTTATAAACCCAATGAGTCAGATCTCCCCCATCATCCAAGATCTACAAATATGGGAAATATAATAGGTTCATATATTCTATTATTGATAGAATATTGAACTTTATCTTACTGAACGCAGGACAAGAAGCAACGGATGGAAACTAATCAAGGAGAGAAGCAACCTAGAATTAAGGAGAAACTTCCTGACAGTTAGAACAATTAACCAGTGGAACAACCTGCCCCCAGAAGCGGTGAATGCTCCAATACTGGAAGTTTTTAAGAAGAGACTGGACAGCCATTTGTCTGAAATGGTATAGGGTTTCCTGCCTGAGCAGGGAGTTGGATTAGATGACCTCCAAGGTCCCTTCCAACATCATCATCATTATTATTATTATTATTATATGGTTTTTTTAAATTAAGTCAAATATTCATTAGGAGATTAGGCTTGGTATCCTAGCTACTTATTTAGGTGAGGTTTCTAATACAAAAAATGAAATATTTTCCCTGCTATGAAATCTGACATAAGGTGAAAATCAGCAGTACTAATTACTGTGCAAATGCTTGTACAACATTTGTGTAATATGCACAGCCAAAACAGGAGAGTAATCATCAGCTTCTGTTCTAACTAACGTAGAATACAGTAGTCAACATGGAAATATTTTTGCTATATTAATCATCATAAAGTTTATCAGCAAAAGAAGACAGTGAAGACACAAAAAATACAGGAGGGTGTTGCTACTTAAAAATTGCAGATTTTTTTTTAAAAAAACTGATATTAGTTTATTCATTTATTTAGATTATTTATTTATTTAGAAAATTTATATGGTTGTCCACTCACTTTCAGGGTGACTTACAAACAATAACAATAATTACAATAGTTACAAAGATAATATTCCAAGGCAAAAAAAAAAAAGGCCAGATGTTTTCCCTAATAGACCAATCCTTAACAGACTACACACAACAATTCTATATATATAGAAAAAGGATATCTCAATAAAAGCTGGTAAATGAAGAGAGTGGAGAGTAATGAGAGCCCCTTATGCAACATTCCAGAGCAGTGGTTCTCAACCTTTCTAATGCCGTGACCCCATAAAACAGTTTCCCATGTTGTGGTGACCCCCAAGTGGGTGTGGCCACCAATAAGAAGGAGTAGGACAGCTAGGGAAAAGGGAAAAAAATGGCAGACTGTGTTGTTTGGCGACCCCCGTGAAATGGTCGTTTGACCCCAAATGGGGTCCCGACCCACAGGTTGAGAACCACTGTTCCAGAGCAACACTTTTCCATGAATTGAACTGGTTCTCTTGAAATGATGCCTTTTATAAAATATTCTCTAGATGTGCTCCAACAGCCTAAATCCAGAGAATGAGGGAATTAGATTTGTCTGAACAGGAGTGACTAGATTTAAATATTCTGCCTGTTAAATATTCACCATCTGAGATCACTGTATCATATTGTTTTCTGTGGGTTAAAGAAAAAAGCATTATTTCACTTAGCATACCAAAAACCTAGGCATTACTGAAGTAGCATTTGGATCCTCTGGGAGAAGACAACAAAAATGAGAACAGTGGAATTTAAGTGGAGAGATTTATTACCATATTGGGCTGCCAGGTATCCATATTTACACAGCGATCAATGCACCACCAAAAATCATCTTCAGATTCTCCTTTCCAGGCAAACACAGCAACACCTAAGAAAACAACAAAAAAGCCCCCAGCTGATTTTTAAAAGCAAGGTTTCTTGCATTTTGCCCTAGCTAAGCATACTACTAGCACGAAGCAAATGTAACATGCTGTTACTTCCACATATTTTAGTTATATGAATGTTGAAAATACTTTTCATGTTTTTCAAGAGCTACATAGTTAAGGCAGTAGATTTGCCTACTTTAATTAGGCTAATGGCTTTTTTGCTTTGAGAAAATGTAAATAAACAAGTTATTATTATATTTATATATAACACTAAGCCAAAATTCATTAACTATTGTTTCTAATAGTAAGCCAGAGACAAACTATACAGATAGTCCTCAACTTACAACAATTTGTTTAATGACCGTTTAAAGTTACAATGGCACTAAAAAGTGATTTATGATTGTTTTTCATACTTATGACCATTGCAGCATTCCCATGGGGTCATGATCAAAATTCAGACACTCATATTTTGCAGTGCAGTGTCCTAGGGTCATATGATCCCCTTTTGCAATCTTTTGCCAATGAGGAAGCCGGATTTACTTAACAACTTTTTTTTACTAACTTAACAACTGCAGTGATTCATTTAACAACTATGGCAAGACAGGTTGTAAAATGGGGCAAAACTCACTTAACAAATGTCTCACTTAGTAGCAAAAATCTTGGGCTCAATTGTGGTCGTTAAGTCAAGGACTACCCGTATTATGGTTTACTTTTATATGTGAACAGGCTTTAATCACCAGCAAACATATAAAAAAGTAATCTATCATTAGAGGTCATGCTAAGCCATTGGCTGATTTGTTTGCTTGTCATATGTTTAAACGGCCATTTGTTTATGTGAATCAGATCCCAATCATTATGGTGACCACTGTGATTAAAAACAGAACTGTGCACCATGTGTTTTTTCCTTTGGGGAAAAAAGGTTATATTAAAGCAATCCATCAGAAATGTTTACTTGGCTTTAGGTTTTCTTAGAATTATACCAGTAATAATGGTCAGAGAACAAATTACTTGTTTTTCAAAAAAAATCCATCAGAGCAGATTCTTGGCAGAATGTGCAGGAAGTGGAATGGTATAAAACATTTTGTGGCACCCAAAGACCAAAATATTAATTGTGACAGGAATGTTCATAGGAAAAAAATGTATGCAGAACAGAGTAAATAATTTAAAGCTAACAAGCGCTCTTTACTGTTACCTATTCTCTTATAACAAATCCAAGGGAGTCTACCTAACTTTGCAATGTTTCTCCGAAAAGATCTGGCAGCTTGGGCATATAGAGAGAACTTATAAAAATGTTAGGAAAAGGATATTAGCAAAGTACTCTGACACTATTTTTTTCTACTGTCTTAAAAACAAAGTAAGGAATACAATTGTATATCTTTCAATATAGCTAATGAAGTAGAGAAAATATTTTTGAATTACTTTCAAAGAAAATTATCTGAAAAGCCTACATTTACCATCATTTTTGTATCATATTTTTGTTTCCTTGCAATGACATATTTAATTAATGCCATAATGTTGCAAACAACATCTTCCTAATTAGAAAGCAAGTATTGTGACAGATAGTATTAACTATTGTAACTATATCTCAAGATCTAATTTTGATCTAGTATTAATCACTTAGCATCGATCCATTATTTTAATCACAGATTAAAGGCTTTTTTTTCTATACAGCTTCTATAACATACCTATGCTCAATCTTTTACAATGATAAATAAGAAGTTTGGCATTAATGAAGTCCTCTTTCAAAATAATTATTTTTTTCATCTGAATGAAATCCATTTATTTTTCCTGAAAATATGAAGCTTATTAGTGACAAGCTTCAGAAAACAGTTTTAATACATGAAAAAGTTAAGTATCTTCTTATATAACCAAATATCTTGATAAACTATGTATTCTTAAGTGCTGAGATCATAATGAGTAAATATTGCAAAAACGTATACATAAATAATTTCTAACATGAATTAGCACAAATTATTTGTACAGTTAGTTGATACTCACCAACCTCAGCCAAGGCAGCAGCCACTTCATTTTGAGTAGAATAAATATTACAAGCAGACCATCGGCATTGAGCTCCTAATGCACAAAGAGTCTCAATCAAGACCTGAAAGATAAAGCAAGCGTCAAATTAAAAAGCTTCAGTAATTACTAATTGGATTGGGGTAACAAAAACTCAGAATGAAAAAGCTCACAAACCAGTAGATTCCAGAAGTTTAATTTATACATTAACTGATTCTAGAGGTTTAATTAGGCTATATTTGTTAATTAATGCCACAATCTTTTGCTCTTTTAAAACATAAGAAAAGGATTATCTAAGATCCAAACCATTTATTTCCAGTTCTTTGAACTATTCAAGATTGCAGTTCCAATTCAAACAATTGTAGTAATCAGTTAAAACCAACATTAAATCATCAACTACTTTAGATCCAGCAGGTTCCCTAAGGCCAATTGTCTTTGCAGAGTAGAAATATTTATCAAGATGACTTAGTAATTAAATTACACCCTTTATAGAACTGAGTTCCCTTGTCACCTGGAGGTGATAAATAGAATCCAGAAAATAGTAAAGATGAAAGAAGACTAAGGTACAAATGGCAAAACAGGTGTACTCACTGCAGTCTGTGCTGTGATATGCGTACATCCCACTATTTTAGCTCCAGCCAAAGGTTTTTCCCCTTGAGCTCGTTTTCTTAGTGAAATCAGTGCAGACATATCTAAAAAAAAAAAGTACCTTTAACAAACCCCCATGCCATTTACTGAGCAAACAATTATCTTCAATTCCTAGAATTATATGTATGTAAAAAGCTCTTAACGTGTTTCCCCAAAAGTAAAGCCTACCCCCAAAAATAAACCCTAGCTTGATTTTTGGGAATGAGCCTAATATAAGCCCTACCCCCAAAATAAGTAAGGTGACCAACTGTCCTCCTTTTGTAAGGTTTGTCCTCCCTCGAAAAGTGTCCTCCTACATGTCCTCCTTTTTGATATTTGAAGACTAATCTGCAGGGCTTTTTTTCCCTCACAGAACGCTCAGAACGGCGTTCGGCATCTTTTTTGATGGGTTTTTTTTCAACTTTTGCATGAGCTGTGCTACTCCCCCTATTGGCTTTCAAAAGCCAATAGGAATTGCTGCTGAGCGCGCCAAAACACCCAGCCGGCAAATTTTGCACATGCAAGTTGTCTGCAGTGAAGACGAATTGGCAGGAACTTTGCACCCCTCCCTGCTACCCAACTACACCATCTCCTAGTTCAGTGATGGCAAACCTTTTAGAGACTGAGTGCCCAAACTGCAACCCAAAACCCACTTATGCATTGTTGAGTGCCGGGTGGGTGTGGCCCATTGGCTGGGTGTGGGCCAGTTGGGTGGGCGTGGCTGTGGTGATAATGGCAGACTGGGTGGGACTAAAAAGTTCAATCAATCAATTTCAACTTTGCAAGATCCTTTTTTCCCGTGAGAAGTTGAAATTGACTGATTGAACCTTTTTTTTTTTTTGCACATGGCGGCAGAGGCCAAAAGCAAAAAGGTTTTATAAAACCCAGTTGAAGGCCTAGGACTGGGGCGATGGCGGGCGTGCCCACAGAGAGGGCTCTGAGTGCCGCCTCTGGCACCCGTGCCATAAGTTCGCCACCACTGTCCTAGTTAGTTCCAAAGGTACCTGGAGGAGACTGGAGCGGTAAGTTTCTCTTGATCTTCAGCTCTGCTAGGGCAATAATGGGTGTGGGCGCAAGAGGCAGGGGCGGCGGGGGTGCGGTGGGTGGGGGTGTGAGGGGCGGCAGCGGCTGGCTGCCCCTGTGTTGTGGGAGCCACGGGCCCTCTCTACACAGGGCTGCGCAGGGTGAGTGGTGCTGGCAGGGCGGCTGCAGGCAGGGTGTGTCGACAGCGGGCTGCCCCCCGGGCTGGAGCCGGCGCGGCTGGTGCTTTGGGAGCCGCGGGGCCCGCTCTACACGGCGGGGCAGTGGTGCTGGTGGGGCAGCTGTGGGCGGGGGCATGGCAGGTGGTTGACCTTCCATGGGCCGGGCCAACTTTTACAATATTTTTTTCTTCAATTTATTTGTGTCCTCCTTTTCATTGTAAAAAAGTTGGTCACCTTAAAATAAGCCCTAGTTTTAGGGCAAGGCACACACCTAAAAATCTAGCTAGGGTGGGAGTGAGGGAGTGGAGCTTCCCCACGCACCCCGGACCCACTTACCTTGCAGCCAGGCCTCTCCTCGCTGGCTCACTTCTTCTGCAGCTAGGCCTGCATTTCTCAGTCAAAGGCCTTTCCGGAGGCCCACTGCAGCCAAGAACCGAGCTATGGATTCAAGACCTCTACAGCCGAGAACTGAGCTATGGGTTCAAGAGGCTTTCCAGAAAGGCCTAACTGCAAAATGCAGGCTGGAATGCAGCTGCAGAAAGAAGCTGCTCCTTCGGCCGCAGAAGTAGACTGGCTGGGCAGTGCTGTCGGTGAGTATAAAAGACATTCCCCCAAAATAAGACCTGGTGCCTCTTTTGGAGGCAAAAAAAAAAATTAAAAATAAGACCCAGTCTTATTTTGGGGGAAACATGGTAGAAAACAATTGCCCTGGAAAGAGAAATAAACAATTTGCCCCACTGAGAAAGACCTTGCATCCTGTCACCTACAGCATCCTTCAGCATATCTTCAAGGGAGTTTCTGTAGCATCTTGTTGAATAGTGTGGATTTCTGTGCAGTGCCAGTCAAAGGAAAGCTATTGTTTATTAAGTCCTCCACTGTACTATTTATGAGATTAGGCTCATATTATTGATGATAGGTGAATTCAAGGAGTCAGACATCAAACATTTGAATTATCTTGTAGATATGCTTCCCACTGTTAGTAGCAAGGCTGCCACTTTTGTTTGTTGTCATTTAATCTCAGAACCTTAAGAACTTTTAAGTCCTTAATCTTAGCCCTGGCTTTATCTTCTTTTGCCCTCTTAGTATTTAGTACTCTTTTTTTATTACATAACTGTATTGTTATTTTGTTTTACTGTATTTTATGCTATGTTATTTCATTATGGCCCATGGTTCCAACAATAAACCATATTTACTTACTATCAACTACTTGGAATCCAAAATGTAGCATATAATAAGGCTGTACAGCAATTTGAAGGAAAAAAAAGTGATTTGGGACATTTATGAAAGCACATGTGTTTAGTAGCTTTTCCTTAAACCAAACATGTCTTTTCTTGGAATTGCCCGGCAGCAGCTATATGAACTCAAAAAAAGAGCACTTTCTTTAAAAGGTTGTCAACAAGATACTCCAAATCACTTTTTCATTTGTGAATCTAGATATCTGAACAGCCCTAGTATATATCTGAAGAATGCCAGCAACCTGAACTGAACACTGCCAAGGAGTGCTTAATTGCTGAAAATGGAACTATGTGAATAAGATCCTATTAATTTGTTAAACAAATAACTAAAAAAACCCCACACTGATCACTTCATAAGGATTGTGCAATACAGCTTAATTAAACTTTTGGCCTTGTTTATAGATTTACATCATTTGTGGACATTTGAAAGAGTTTACTTGCTACCAAGGTGTTTGCTGACTAATGGAATAAAATGTAAGACACCCAGAGAGAAGCTTTAGCAAATTGAGCTTTACCTTGCTCAGCAATCTCTATCTCTCTGCGCCCAAACTCTGCTTGCTTAATGTTCTTAACACAGAAATTACTATTGCCTTTGGAATTTGTTTGCTGCTTTTCTCTTGGAGAAACTTCATCATCAGAGCTATCAGTGTAGGATGCCGCTATAAAAAAAAAAATAAAGTTTTCAGTGAGAAGAGATATATAGATAAAAGAAACTAAGTCAATGATTATATCTTAGTAGAGGAAGTAACCAAGTCAAGACTCTTTTCTGCATTATGGATAGCTACTATCTACTGAGTCCCATTATTAGTGATATTACAATGAACCACTTCACACTTCCTTCTATATGAATAAGTGTAGAGATAACAAGAAGTTTGAGGTGAAGGGTAGGAACTTTTATTTTTTAAACCAATCAGCCTCTGGGAGCTGCAGGGGATCTGGCAGGGATATGCTAACATGTCTACGAATTTTTTTAATACCTTTTCTTTCAATAACTTTGAATAACATTATTCTTTGAATAATAATCACATTAATAAATTCAGCAGCATGACTCTCACTCACTCACTCACACTCTCTCTCTCTCACTCTCTCCAAAGACTACAAAGAAGACTGTTGAGAGGCCAGTTGTGCTTCTTGAGCTAACTATTTCTGTATCAGCAGAAGATAAATCAAAAGGAAAATAAATATTATTAAAAGGGAGACACTTACCAGAACTATAGCTGTCTGTGGAAGACTGTGAAATGGAACGAGACAGGGATCTGCGACCAGTCTTTGTGGGAAATTTACTGAACTCCTGCATATCATCTGCAAACTGGATCTGCTATACACAAAAATTAAAAAGTTACTATTGTTTTTTTTTTAAGTCAACAAGCTTAATTCTCTATTAAAACATAAGCAATGTAAGATTCCATTCTACAGTATTCAACACAAGTCATATTCCAAAGAAGAATACTTCCTGTATAGATATAAGATAGCATTTTGATGCTACCAGTAAATATAAATAGATGACATATTAAGATTTGTGCTATTCAATTAATGTAAATGAAAATTCATTGCAGAATAAAGCTACATTGTAACAAGCTTTCTCTATTAGCAGACAATGTATCATGTATGTCCAAAAAGAAAGTAAATATAATTATAACATTTAGGCAGCCACTTCAATTTGCATCTATAAATACAATTTGTCTCATACAAAAAAATACCACATTCTTAAGCTTATTCAGTTATATTATTCAACAATGAACTTGGCACTATTCATGTAATATATTACTATATAATATTAGGATATAAATATTATAACATTAATACATACATTGGTTTATAATATAAAAATAATCATCAAATAGATTTACATTTTGAATGGAATATCTGATAAATATTTTTTCTGTAGCTATTATTTAATGAGAGTATTTAGCCAGAAGACATTTAAGTAAGAACTTATGAAATCATCTAATTTCATTCTAGATTTTAAAGAAACTGAGAAATAAATTCCAATCTCCATAATACAACAACGCATTTATATATTGTATGTTCTCATTAAAACCTTAGGGTGAAACTGTGATATCATAACAATAGCATCTGGCTGTGATTAACTCACAATCAAAAGTATGAGAAGTATCTCAAGACAAATATCTTCTCCATAAAATGCTTGCTTTCACATATTGTAATTAACAATATTGAGGTTTTGTTTGTTTTTATTTAATATGCTATGTGAACTCAGCAAATGAATACAATATGAATTGTTTCAGAGAGATTGAAAACAATTTTGATATTAGTTTACTGACTGCAACTGTGTAGTAAATGTGAATGAGTGCAATTTCATGAATTCATTTATTAATCAACCTAATCTGCAAGGGTGCAAAGTGAGAGGACTTAAAAAAGAAGGAAAAACAAAACAGAAGCAGTTAAACCATGATTGCTTTGCTTATTTGGAAAAGTAATTCTGGATTATTCAGAAAAACACAGTGAATATATAACATGGCTTAAAAGCAGATTTTCCTTCAAGGTGAACTTGACACTTTCAACCGGAGAAAATGGGAAAATCTAATTATTGTAAGGGAAACAAACAAACAAAAAAAACACATGTGCATAATTCTGTATCTCAACTATTCTATAGTTGCAAAATCCACAAAACTTAAAAGCAGCAGTGCCTCTCTCATTCAATTAGACACATACACACATAAACCTTTTTGCATTGATAACTGTTGGTAGTCGGTACAAAACATACATCTATACTTATAAAGTATTAATAGATAATCTATGAAAAGGAAATCACTTAGATTTAGGAAACCATATCATTAATAAAAAAATCTTATCCTTAACGTATAAAATTCAGGCATTATAACAACTGCTTTCACTGTAATTTGATTATTTCAATAAACTACACTCATATATTGCTTGTGTGACTTTGAAAACAGATTATTAGTGGGGATATCAAGAGCTAGAGCTGAAATTTGGGGATCTTAAGGGAAGGGGAAGAAGTTTCCAGAAGTGCAAAAATATTTCAAAATGGCACAGAAATGAAGTTTGCTCTAGGCTGCTATAAATACTTTTATTGCATTTAATCACAAACTGAAACAAGTGACTTACATAATGAGTCAAATTGGGGTGGGGGATTTTAATGGTCAGTTTAAATAATAATATTTTATCTTGTATTCTCCACAAATGAACTATCTTTCCTGGGCAAATAAAAATGCATGTTTTTTGGAATAGCTGAGGATTAATGAGATAGGGTGAGAAATACTAACATGAATTAGAAAACATTAAAGAAGTTCAAAATATTTGGATTAGGTCACATCCGGGACATTCTTACTGATTTTAAGATATGGAATCCAGTTTAAGGACCAAAGAATAAATTCTTTTGATCCTGTAATGACTGAAATCACTGAATTCTAAATATATTCAAGTCTAATTATTTATATTTAAATAGCAAAATTTAAAACTTATAGGTTAACATAATGGGGATACCATCCTCGGATATGGAAACTTAATGGGTGATTTTGGAACTCCACAGCGTTATTGTGGTGGTGCAAATTGAAGGAGATAGTGCTACACTGTATATAATAATAATAATAATAATAATAATAATAATAATAATAATAATAATAATAAATGGCTTTGGAAGAATATCTGAAGAACAATGATGAAGATGCACTGAAATTAGTATATCAGGAAGGCTTACTGACTACTGGAGAGACCAAACTGGCCTACAAGAAAGACCAACTGAAGAACAGAATAGAGGCATGGGAAGACAAAGCACTACATGGCCAATACATGAAAAAAATAGCTGGGAAAGCAGATAATAATAAAACCTGGCAATGGCTAAGAGCAGGAAATTGAAGAAAGAGACCGAGGGACTAATTCTGGCTGCACAAGATCAAGCCTTAAGGACAAATGCATACAAAGTCAAAATTGAGAAGACAGCAACAGACAGTAAGTGCCGCCTATGCAAAGAAGCTGAAGAAACAGTGGACCACTTGGTAAGCTGTTGCAAGAAGATTGCACAAACTGATTACAAGCAGCGGCATGACAAAGTAGCAACAATGTTGCATTGAAAGATCTGCAAAAAATATCATTTGCCTGTAAGCAAAAACTGGTGGGATCATAAAATAGAGAAAGTCATAGAAAATGATAAAATTAAACTGCTCTGGGACTTCAGAATTCAAACAGAAAAGCACCTGCAACATAACACCCCAGACTTAACAATTGTCGATAAGAAAGACAAAAAAGTCTGGATAGTGGACGTGGCAGTGCCTGGAGACAGCAGAATAGACGAGAAAGAACTGGAGAAGATAACAAAATACAAAGACCTACAAATAGAAATAGAAAGACTGTGGCAAAAGCAAGCAAGGGTAGTACCAATAGTCATAGGCTCCTTGGGTGCAATCTCAAAAAACTGGAGCACCACTTGAACACCATTGGCATTGACAAATTCGCTATTAGTCAATTGCAAAAGGCGGCCTTACTAGGAACTGCTTCCATCCTGCGATGTTATCTGTAATACCATCAAACATCCACATCTGCCTATCCCAGGTCCTGGGTAAGGACTCGATAGGTAGACAAAATGCCAAATCCAGTCTGAACATCTGGCTGACTGTGCGATGATCCTTAATAATGATAATTTGGAAGGTCTTCTAGTCCAACCCCCTGCTCAGGCAGGAAACCCTATACCATTTCAGACAAATGGCTGTCCAGTCTCTTCTTAAAAACTTCCAGTGTTGGAGCATTCATCATTTCTGGAGGCAGGTTGTTCCACTGGTTAATTGTTCTGTCAGGAAGTTTCTCCTTAGTTCTAGGTTGCTTCTCTCCTTGATTAGTTTACATCCATTGCTTCTTGTTCCTGCCTTCTGGCGCCTTGGAAAATAGCTTGACTCCCTCTTCTTTGTGGCAGCCCGAGATATTGGAACACTGCTATTATGTCACCCCTCGTCCTTCTCTTCATTAAACTAGACACACCCAATTCCAGCAACCTTTCCTTATATGCTATAGCCCCCAGTCCCCTAATCATCTTTGTTGCTCTTCTCTGTACTCTTTCTAGAGTCTTAACATCTTTTTTACATCGTGGTGACCAAAACTAGATGCAGTATTCCAAGTGTGGCCTTACCAAGGCATTGTAAAGTGGTATTAATACTTCATGTGATCTTGAGTTCCAGAATGGTAGAACATAAATCTAATAAATAAATAAAATGGTGGCAATGTTCACATTAGTGAAAAAAAATAGAATTGCTATTGATGTTTTGCATTGTCAAAAATTACTATAGCAGTATATAGAGGTTCTTGCTTTCTCACAACAATGAAGCATCAACTCTGACTTTTTTCACCTCCAACAACAGGGTTTGTGATTGTATCAAGCAGACTTATTGGGTTCCATTGTGAAAAGTACAGACTAGTCCAACAAGTTCCATTCATTTCTTTACGGTTAAAAATAGCTTCTGGGCAAAGTTTTAATTATTAAAATCTTTATCCGCAACAGTTTTCCTTAGGACTATATTCGAAAACCAATTAGAAAGTTTTTCACATAGTTGCTTTAAAAATGTGAATTACTTTCTTATTTTCAAACGTATCTACTTCAATTGAACATTTTGTCTGAAGATACTGGATATCTCAGAGACTGTTTAGTAAAAGTTTCTTTGCAATCATCTCTCTTTTGGAGATGCAATTCAAGAACTGGAATATTAAATCATATGAATGAACCTGTTTCTTTATTACTCTGAGTTGAAACCCACTGGAAACACCAGTAGTGTCAACATTTTAAATCAACAAGGTAGTATATTAGCAATATTTGGAATCTACAAGAACAAATTATGGATTTCTTAGGCATGAATGAAAGACCAAACATACTGTAAAACTTGGAAAAATAAATGTGCATTGTCAATAAAACACTATTTCAACTATTGATAAAAGGCAATTTGGTCAAATTTTTGGACCAAAATTTAGGCATTTATTAAAATGAAGTTTTATATCACACAAACATGCATATGAGTATATATCTGAGAATGCATGTATACTTTGTTGAATGAAAGAAAAAAAAATACATTATGCAACACATGCTGATTTGGACAGATCTAAAATTTGCTGCAGGAGTCTTCTAAGTCTCATCAAAGTAAATCTAGGTCATCCAGTAAATTTCGAGAATGATTTAGAAACAAAGATAGTTTGGCTCAAAAAAATGAATATGTAAAAGAAAAATATCAGCAGAGAATGTACTTTTGTAATGAATAGCACTAGCTTCCAACTACAGATTAAGCTTAACCACAGTTCTGTTTTGTACTTCCAAGCAGCATTCTTTTGGGAGAAATGTAGAAGAAACTTATCAGATGC